CAGATTGTTCTACCCTTGGCTATAACATGCAGCTCAGCCCCTGTCATCCACAACCAACACCAGATTGTTCTATCCTGCGCTATAACATGCAGCTCAGCCCCTGTCATCCACAACCAACACCAGATTGTTCTATCCTGCGCTATAACATGCAGCTCAGCCCCTGTCATCCACAACCAACACCAGATTGTTCTATCCTGCGCTATAACATGCAGCTCAGCCCCTGTCATCCACAACCAACACCAGATTGTTCTATCCTGCGCTATAACATGCAGCTCAGCCCCTGTCATCCACAACCAACACCAGATTGTTCTATCCTGCGCTATAACATGCAGCTCAGCCCCTGTCATCCACAACCAACACCAGATTGTTCTACCCTTGGCTATAACATGCAGCTCAGCCCCTGTCATCCACAACCAACACCAGATTGTTCTACCCTTGGCTATAACATGCAGCTCAGCCCCTGTCATCCACAACCAACACCAGATTGTTCTACCCTTGGCTATAACATGCAGCTCAGCCCCTGTCATCCACAACCAACACCAGATTGTTCTACCCTTGGCTATAACATGCAGCTCAGCCCCTGTCATCCACAACCAACACCAGATTGTTCTACCCTTGGCTATAACATGCAGCTCAGCCCCTGTCATCCACAACCAACACCAGATTGTTCTATCCTGCGCTATAACATGCAGCTCAGCCCCTGTCATCCACAACCAACACCAGATTGTTCTATCCTGCGCTTTAACATGCAGCTCAGCCCCTGTCATCCACAACCAACACCAGATTGTTCTATCCTGCGCTATAACATGCAGCTCAGCCCCTGTCATCCACAACCAACACCAGATTGTTCTATCCTGCGCTATAACATGCAGCTCAGCCCCTGTCATCCACAACCAACACCAGATTGTTCTATCCTGCGCTATAACATGCAGCTCAGCCCCTGTCATCCACAACCAACACCAGATTGTTCTATCCTGCGCTATAACATGCAGCTCAGCCCCTGTCATCCACAACCAACACCAGATTGTTCTATCCTGCGCTATAACATGCAGCTCAGCCCCTGTCATCCACAACCAACACCAGATTGTTCTATCCTGCGCTATAACATGCAGCTCAGCCCCTGTCATCCACAACCAACACCAGATTGTTCTACCCTTGGCTATAACATGCAGCCCAGCCCCTGTCATCCACAACCAACACCAGATTGTTCTATCCTGCGCTATAACATGCAGCTCAGCCCCTGTCATCCACAACCAACACCAGATTGTTCTATCCTTGGCTATAACATGCAGCTCAGCCCCTGTCATCCACAACCAACACCAGATTGTTCTATCCTTCGCTATAACATGCAGCTCAGCCCCTGTCATCCACAACCAACACCAGATTGTTCTATCCTTGGCTATAACATGCAGCTCAGCCCCTGTCATCCACAACCAACACCAGATTGTTCTACCCTTGGCTATAACATGCAGCTCAGCCCCTGTCATCCGTATCTTTTTTCTTTGCACTTCACTCTCTAGCTCCCTAATCCATGTATTTTTTAGTCTGCTCTTATTCCTCAAATCCTGTGGGTTCCAGTGTAAAGCCCTTCTAGTGATACTATTATCAGGTTTTCTCAACGTTGGTTCTGTCCATCGCCACCACTTTTCTTCAACTCCTGTTCACTACTTATTTCTCTCCAAAAGCTCCACATTGATGATTACATTATACAATTTAATTCTCTTTATTCTGCACCGTTAATGGATGGTTAATGAATGTCTGTTATTAGTTCTCCTATGGTAACAAAGGTCGGCTCTGTGGCTAAGTCGATGCGAACACTTTGTAATGCCGGGATGCCGGGTTCGATCCTAGCTGCGGGCTATGCGCCTTTCGTTGGTTTCAACAGTGGTATCAAGAAAGCCGACCGTCCAGAAAGCAATGGCAAACTACTGGACGTCAATTTGCCTAGAAAAACCACACAACAGCCAGGGGCTGTTGGGGTTGATTCTGCAACTTCCTCTAATGGATACGCAACTAACCTATATGGTTAACAAAGTTGATATGAATTGTGCACCATTGTGTAAACACTAAAGATGAAAATCAGGCCTTTTGAGAGAGATTAAAAAAATAAAAAAAATAATTATAGTGATCATAATGAATAAGAAAACTTACTGATATTCTACAAGTGAGAATCAAGGAGGCAACCAAAACAGCATCATTACTGGACTGTTAAATATTGTTGCTATATTATACATCACAGTGGCTTAGGAAGATCTGCAAAGCAAGGTAAGGTTCCTATAAGAAAGCAGGCATTAACCAGCAAGAAAGTGGACAAAGTACACATTTAAAGATCCTTTAAGCAAGAAAATAGGAGGCAGGACAAGTGGCAAAAGATCTAGTATACAATATGGACAAAGAACAAATGGAAAGATCCATTAAACATGAGGCAGGATGTGGTAAAAGATCTAGGGTCTCCGGATGATCACGACAAGAGTGATATAAATAAATAATTGATTGCATCTTTTTATTCTGCATTTGTGATTAAAGTATGACTGGCACATTGTGTTCTGGTTTACAGCTAGGCTGTGATATTTGCCCCTTTCAAACCAGTACATCCGATTTCAGCAAATCCCTCATTGGTCACGTTTTACAACATGCTTGTTGGGTGGGGGGGGGGGGGCAGTGAACACCCCCCCCCCCCTTCTCCCCCATTAAAATTGGGGCCCCGGAACGCAGACAAGGAAAATGAATGAATCAACAACCTAAAAACATTCTCTGTCCACCTTCTCCCTATCTAACAGTGACGGTGCCAGTCACAACCTGATAAAAAAATCTGTCCCTCTTTTTCCTCGCCTGTTAAAATAACAGCCAATCACTCTGCTTACTCCCTGATGAATAAGTCTCTATTAAGCATGAGAGACTCTGCTCACTCCCTGATGAATAAGTCTCTATTAAGCATGAGATACTCTGCTCACTCCCTGATGAATAAGTCTCTATTAAGCATGAGATACTCTGCTCACTCCCTGATGAATAAGTCTCTATTAAGCATGAGATACTCTGCTCACTCCCTGATGAATAAGTCTCTATTAAGCATGAGATACTCTGCTAGGTTGCAATGTCCACTAGATCCTAGAAAACCTTCCGCTTCATTCTAAAGAAGCTCACCACCACCTAGAGAAGCAGCAGCAGTCTATCGACTTGCTATATAATTTGATATTTGAATACAGCCTTCAACAACTTTATAAAGCAGCTTGCCACTGAGAGCAGCAGCAGCAGCCCAACTATCAGCATACTCAATAACCAGCACACGTGAATGCTTGATAAAGGTGACATCATGAACAGTAAATAGCTACATGGTACAAGACACCAGGACTATGAAGTGCACCTCTCTTCACCAACCATTTCAGTGACTTTTTCAGATCTTTTAAACAATTTGTAAATCACAAAACACATCAATAACATGGGCAATGCCTGTTTATAAGCACATAATGCACATATATCTGGGCCTTTAAACAGATACAGTTAATATACAGACACAATCTACTGTAACCAGACAGGTAAATTTGCATTAGGTCCTTCATTTGATCACTTACATTAGTGAACACAAATTTTCTCAAATATGCTGTAAATATAAATCACATGCTAAACTTGACAAACATATATGACTAGATAGCTACATAAGCCTTCGTGTGTAAAGATAAAACTGGCTATACAAAGACTGGGGGTATATAGATAAGACTGGTTATGTTAAAATCTATGGAATTTCAGGAAAAGACAGTATGTTAAGAAAAGAAGGTATGTAAAGATAAATCAGAGTATACAACAACAAGACTGGTTATTTTAAACTTTGTGGGTAGGTAAAGATACTGAAGATTTAAAGATTAGACTGTGTGTTTCAAGATAGTGTTGGATATAAAAACATCACTAATTTCTAGACATGATTTTAATCAACAACAAGACTGTGATTATAAAGATAGGACTTTATATCTAAAAATAAGACTCAAGATGTGAAGAAAAGACTACACTGAAACAAGACAAAGAATATAAAGACAACTGTATACTCAAAGACAAGACTTCAAATATAAAGATAAGTTTCCCGTGTGGGTTCTGTGCCATCATGGGGAAAACAAGAACAGACCCACTGTCTCCTCAACAAGCATGTCATAAGAGTCAACTGGGGGGTTTCCTTCGAAGTTGGAGTGCACCTGCCTGAGAGGCTAGAACCCAACAATTGACATACAAATAAGTCAGACCTCTAAAACTGATGTGCACACAACTCTTAGATTCTGGGACAAGACTAAAGTTCAAAGGTGGACAAACAAACAGAATTTATAGTCTATAGACGGCAAATGTAAAAAAGAAGAAGTTTCTGTATCAAAGGATGGCCTCAGAATATAAAGATATGACTGTTAGAAATATAAAGATAATTTTTATCAAAGATTCCAAATATAAAGATTTGTTTATCAAAAGACAGACACAGGATATAAAGATATGACTGTTAGAAACATAAAGACAATTTTTATCAAAGATTCCAAATATAAAGATTTGTTTATCAAAAGACAGACACAGGATATAAAGATATGACTGTTAGAAACATAAAGACAATTGTTATCAAAGATTCCAAATATAAAGATTTGTTTATCAAAAGACAGACACAGGATATAAAGATATGACTGTTAGAAACATAAAGACAATTTTTATCAAAGATTCCAAATATAAAGATTTGTTTATCAAAAGACAGACACAGGATATAAAGATAAGAATGAGAATACAGAAAAGATGGTATATGAAGTATTGACTAGGTGTATAAAGAGTGGATATTGCACATGTCCGTAAAATGTAATACTGTAACAATGTAAATATAAACTTTACCTTTTTTTTTTTTAAACTTTGTTTTTACTAAACTGTGCTTTTACTGCTATTTCTTGTGTGTACTGACATTTAAAAAAAACCATAAGCCATTTATTGTATAATAAGTAACAGTTGTGGTTACATCAACGCAACAATAAATATTTATCACATTATACGGATGCCTCATAAGCATCATATGCACCCTTGGTGATTTCTTTATGAGGGATCTGATTCTGTCGCCACAGCCTCTCACCAATGCGCTTCTCACGTATTTCAGTGATGTCACTGACTGGTAAAACTCGCATATTTGACACAGTGTCAGGCAGTTGTTTTCTAGACAACGGTGATGGTTGGCTGGTGAAACTGGGAGATGTAATCGAAGGACTTGGTGAAGGAGATCGTTTCTGGATGAGAATATTGCTGCTTGGATGCATCATTTGATGAGTATTTGCAGAGTTGAATGTATTTATCCGATGAGAGTTGCTTGGTGATGCTGTCTGCACTTCATCCAGGCGCCCAAGGATGGTAACTCCACCTTTGCTAGTGTTGTTGAACTGATGGTAGTTTGGAGCAGCTTGTGCTACATGATTCATTTGAGACCCACTGTCTGTGTATACGTTAATGTTGTTTCCGTATCCTTTCTGATATGCTTCGGGTAACTTTCTTGGTAACGTGTGATTTCTTCCGACACCCTGCTCCCAGACTTTCGCATCCAATTTTTCTCTAGGTGGGTCATAGTCAAAACTTTTGGAGCGGTCTCCAGCTCTGGGATAGTGACCCACCTCCCTGGGGGTAGTTCTCTCTTTTGATTGTGCCTCAGAGCTTCTTCTGAGAGATGAGCTTTGATAAGTGTCTCTACTATCACACCTAGGAAAACTTCCTTCTCTGTGGCAGTGTTCTTTGTTCTTGTATCTAATTTCATGAGCATCTCCTGGTTGACTTTCATTGGGGACAGATCTGCTGGTGTAATCTTTGCTTCTGTCCCTTCCAAGGGAGTTGTTCTGGGGGCTTGGCCTCACAGAGACCTCATTTCCTTTTGCTCTATCTAATGAGCTGCTGTACTGACCAACAGGGTTAGTCTGGGGGCTTGGCCTCACAGAGACCTCATTTCCTTTTGCTCTCTCTAATGAACTGCTGTACTGACCAACAGGGTTAGTCTGGGGGCTTGGCCTCACAGAGATCTCATTTCCCTTTGCTCTCTCTAATGAACTGTTGTACTGACCAACAGGGTTAGTCTGGGGGCTTGGCCTCACAGAGACCTCATTTCCCTTTGCTCTCTCTAATGAACTGTTGTACTGACCAACAGGGTTAGTCTGGGGACTCTGCCTGAGAGAGATCTCATTTCCTTTTGCTCTATCTAATGAACTGTTGTACTGACCAACAGGGTTAGTCTGGGGACTCTGCCTGAGAGAGATCTCATTTCCTTTTGCTCTATCTAATGAACTGTTGTACTGGCTACTGGATTTATCATCTGAGGTGGTCAGATTCTCCCTCGATCCTCCAGGTTTGTTTAGGGAACTGGAAAGATAGTCACTTGAGCCTGTTCTATCTCCCAGTTTCATCTGCTCTTTATATTTATTTAAATTCTCCCGCGATCGACTCGGGTAAAAATTCCTGGCCCGGTCTTTAACTAGAGACGCTGAGGGAGCAGAAGATGAGCTTTGGTCTTTCATACCAGTTCTAACAGGCAAAGGTGAATGAGGTGACAGGGGAGGTCTGCCATTACTTCTGTCTCCTGGATGAGATGGAGGTGATGCTGCACTGCGAGGAGAGTTGCTTCTAGTTGAGGGTTTCAAGGAATATGTCCTTGAAGGCAGGGTTCTCTCTGTGCTTGGACTCTGGATACCAGCTCCACTGGACGATGAACTTCTTTTAATACCAGGGCTGTTGACAGACGACAGAGAGTGGAATTTTGTATCCTCTTCCTCTTTGACAATCGGGGCTTTGTATCTACCTAAACTACCACCATTCTGAACGTTGGCCAGCATCACCTTCCTTGTGGGAGGATCATAAGTGTTTCTAGACTGAGCAGCGTAAGAGTTCTGCGAGGGAACTGGTGCTGTGACAGAGCTGGAATTGGTGCTGGCCGCTACTGCTGCTCCAGACGATGGATGTGGCTGCTGGTTGCCGACGGAGTCAAACAGGTTGGTGTAGGAACCACCCCGCTTGCGTACTGCCAGGGGAGACGGCTCACAATCCACAGACTGGCTGCCTTTGTCCATGAAGTCATCACTATCAAGTGCATTATGGGACTCCTTTAAAACAAGAAAACAACATAAATTGGCACAAGTAAAAAACTGTAGCAAATCTTACTGATTTAAGAATCGAAATCACAGCAAAGCTCTGTTTCTGGCATCAAATGTTTAAGGTTATATGCTAACTGTTCCCATAGCACACTGATTACACATGTCGCTCTCTTCCTTTCATATGTCCCTCCTTGCCAGACCTACACTAATTTCTCATTCACACTTTCTTACACTTGTCATTTCATCTAACCCCTTGTCTTTTATCACCAATTGTTCATAAATAGTCTTTAGAATATCTACTTGGTCCAGTACGAGCCTTCCCATTGCAAATGTTACCATAACATAACCCCCCCCCCCCCCCCCACACACACACACACACACACAAGAATGAGGTAAAAGGCAACCAATTAGGTGTTTGCCAAAACTGGATGTGTTCGGCCAACAGACGCATACTTTGCTTAGCTTTGCCGTAAACAACAACACACTGTGACAACCACCCTTTTAATGGTAAATAGAGAAGAAGAAGAAGATAGTTTGCTCTAGTTATAATCAGGGAAATTCAAGTTCAAATTGATTTAAGTTATAATGAAGGTAGCTTTAACTGCTACATCAAGTACTACCTTGGTTCACTCTGCAGTCCCATGCAGGTCAGGGAATCAAATATCAATGTCACAGACCACATCTGTTAGTGTGACGGTGACAGAAACAGAACCAGGCAATACTGTGTATCATTATTTGGCAAGAACGCAAGAGATAGACAATGATACAAGTGGGAGGACAAAATCAAGAGACGGACAACCAGCAGTCTGGGTGAGTGTACAACAAAAACAAAAGACAGACTGTGTTGGAGATCCATGGCAGTCAATCTTCAATGTGGAGACAGCAACTGACTGACTGACTCAGTCAACCTTCAATGTGGAGACAGCAACTGACTGACTGACTCAGTCAACCTTCAATGTGGAGACAGCAACTGATTGACTGACTGACTGATTCTGAGTACAAATGATTACTAATAAACATCAGCAGCTTCTCACAAGTGGTTCTCTTCAAATATCTCATGCAAAGAGTGACCCAGTGGGAAGTAGGCCAGATCACAAACTAAACCACACAAGTGGTTCTCTTCAAATATCTCATGCAAAGAGTGACCCAGTGGGAAGTAGGCCAGATCACAAACTAAACCACACAAGTGGTTCTCTTCAAATATCTCATGCAAAGAGTGACCCAGTGGGAAGTAGGCCAGATAACAAACTAAACCACACAAGTGGTTCTCTTCAAATATCTCATGCAAAGAGTGACCCAGTGGGAAGTAGGCCAGATAACAAACTAAACCACACAAGTGGTTCTCTTCAAATATCTCATGCAAAGAGTGACCCAGTGGGAAGTAGGCCAGATCACAAACTAAACCACACAAGTGGTTCTCTTCAAATATCTCATGCAAAGAGTGACCCAGTGGGAAGTAGGCCAGATAACAAACTAAAAACCACACAAGTGGTTCTCTTCAAATATCTCATGCAAAGAGTGACCCAGTGGGAAGTAGGCCAGATCACAAACTAAACCACACAAGTGGTTCTCTTCAAATATCTCATGCAAAGAGTGACCCAGTGGGAAGTAGGCCAGATCACAAACTAAACCACACAAGTGGTTCTCTTCAAATATCTCATGCAAAGAGTGACCCAGTGGGAAGTAGGCCAGATCACATACTAAACCACACAAGTGGTTCTCTTCAAATATCTCATGCAAAGAGTGACCCAGTGGGAAGTAGGCCAGATCACAAACTAAACCACACAAGTGGTTCTCTTCAAATATCTCATGCAAAGAGTGACCCAGTGGGAAGTAGGCCAGATCACAAACTAAACCACACAAGTGGTTCTCTTCAAATATCTCATGCAAAGAGTGACCCAGTGGGAAGTAGGCCAGATCACAAACTAAACCACACAAGTGGTTCTCTTCAAATATCTCATGCAAAGAGTGACCCAGTGGGAAGTAGGCCAGATCACAAACTAAACCACACAAGTGGTTCTCTTCAAATATCTCATGCAAAGAGTGACCCAGTGGGAAGTAGGCCAGATCACAAACTAAACCACACAAGTGGTTCTCTTCAAATATCTCATGCAAAGAGTGACCCAGTGGGAAGTAGGCCAGATAACATACTAAACCACACAAGTGGTTCTCTTCAAATATCTCATGCAAAGAGTGACCCAGTGGGAAGTAGGCCAGATCACAAACTAAACCACACAAGTGGTTCTCTTCAAATATCTCATGCAAAGAGTGACCCAGTGGGAAGTAGGCCAGATAACATACTAAACCACACAAGTGGTTCTCTTCAAATATCTCATGCAAAGAGTGACCCAGTGGGAAGTAGGCCAGATAACATACTAAACCACACAAGTGGTTCTCTTCAAATATCTCATGCAAAGAGTGACCCAGTGGGAAGTAGGCCAGATCACAAACTAAACCACACAAGTGGTTCTCTTCAAATATCTCATGCAAAGAGTGACCCAGTGGGAAGTAGGCCAGAGATCACATACTAAACCACACAAGTGGTTCTCTTCAAATATCTCATGCAAAGAGTGACCCAGTGGGAAGTAGGCCAGATCACATACTAAACCACACAAGTGGTTCTCTTCAAATATCTCATGCAAAGAGTGACCCAGTGGGAAGTAGGCCAGAGATCACATACTAAACCACACAAGTGGTTCTCTTCAAATATCTCATGCAAAGAGTGACCCAGTGGGAAGTAGGCCAGATCACAAACTAAACCACACAAGTGGTTCTCTTCAAATATCTCATGCAAAGAGTGACCCAGTGGGAAGTAGGCCAGATCACAAACTAAACCACACAAGTGGTTCTCTTCAAATATCTCATGCAAAGAGTGACCCAGTGGGAAGTAGGCCAGATAACATACTAAACCACACAAGTGGTTCTCTTCAAATATCTCATGCAAAGAGTGACCCAGTGGGAAGTAGGCCAGATCACAAACTAAACCACACAAGTGGTTCTCTTCAAATATCTCATGCAAAGAGTGACCCAGTGGGAAGTAGGCCAGATAACATACTAAACCACACAAGTGGTTCTCTTCAAATATCTCATGCAAAGAGTGACCCAGTGGGAAGTAGGCCAGATCACAAACTAAACCACACAAGTGGTTCTCTTCAAATATCTCATGCAAAGAGTGACCCAGTGGGAAGTAGGCCAGATAACAAACTAAACCACACAAGTGGTTCTCTTCAAATATCTCATGCAAAGAGTGACCCAGTGGGAAGTAGGCCAGATCACAAACTAAACCACACAAGTGGTTCTCTTCAAATATCTCATGCAAAAGAGTGACCCAGTGGGAAGTAGGCCAGATAACAAACTAAACCACACAAGTGGTTCTCTTCAAATATCTCATGCAAAGAGTGACCCAGTGGGAAGTAGGCCAGATCAACAAACTAAACCACACAAGTGGTTCTCTTCAAATATCTCATGCAAAGAGTGACCCAATATATCTCATGCAAAAGTGGGAAGTAGGCCAGATAACAAACTAAACCACACAAGTGGTTCTCTTCAAATATCTCATGCAAAGAGTGACCCAGTGGGAAGTAGGCCAGATCACAAACTAAACCACACAAGTGGTTCTCTTCAAATATCTCATGCAAAGAGTGACCCAGTGGGAAGTAGGCCAGATAACATACTAAACCACACAAGTGGTTCTCTTCAAATATCTCATGCAAAGAGTGACCCAGTGGGAAGTAGGCCAGATAACAAACTAAACCACACAAGTGGTTCTCTTCAAATATCTCATGCAAAGAGTGACCCAGTGGGAAGTAGGCCAGATAACAAACTAAACCACACAAGTGGTTCTCTTCAAATATCAAATATCTCATGCAAAGAGTGACCCAGTGGGAAGTAGGCCAGATAACAAACTAAACCACACAAGTGGTTCTCTTCAAATATCTCATGCAAAGAGTGACCCAGTGGGAAGTAGGCCAGATCACAAAACTAAACCACACAAGTGGTTCTCTTCAAATATCTCATGCAAAGAGTGACCCAGTGGGAAGTAGGCCAGATCACATACTAAACCACACAAGTGGTTCTCTTCAAATATCTCATGCAAAGAGTGACCCAGTGGGAAGTAGGCCAGATCACAAACTAAACCACACAAGTGGTTCTCTTCAAATATCTCATGCAAAGAGTGACCCAGTGGGAAGTAGGCCAGATCACAAACTAAACCACACAAGTGGTTCTCTTCAAATATCTCATGCAAAGAGTGACCCAGTGGGAAGTAGGCCAGATCACATACTAAACCACACAAGTGGTTCTCTTCAAATATCTCATGCAAAGAGTGACCCAGTGGGAAGTAGGCCAGATCACATACTAAACCACACAAGTGGTTCTCTTCAAATATCTCATGCAAAGAGTGACCCAGTGGGAAGTAGGCCAGATAACAAACTAAACCACACAAGTGGTTCTCTTCAAATATCTCATGCAAAGAGTGACCCAGTGGGAAGTAGGCCAGATCACATACTAAACCACACAAGCTGGTCACCAGTGGTTCTAGGGCTGTGTGGCCTGAGAGAAAGTTCTTAGTTTGGTCTCTAACGTTTAACCAACTATGCTGTCCCACTTGTAAGTTAATAGTGTCTCTAACGTTTAACCAACTATGCTGTCCCACTTGTGAGTTAGTATGGTCTCTAATGTTTAACCAACTATGCTGTCCCACTTGTGAGTTAGTATGGTCTCTAATGTTTAACCAACTATGCTGTCCCACTTGTGAGTTAGTATGGTCTCTAACGTTTAACCAACTATGCTGTCCCACTTGTAAGTTAATAGTGTCTCTAATGTTTAATCAACTATACTGTCCCACTAGTGAGTTAGTATTGTCTGTAATATTTAATCAACTATGCTGTCCCACTAGTGAGTTAGTATTGTCTGTAACATTTAATCAACTATGCTGTCCCACTAGTGAGTTAGTATTGTCTGTAACATTTAATCAACTATGCTGTCCCACTTTAATGTCAGGTCTTGGTCAGATAGGACTGAGCTACCATACAACAGTAGCCGGCACCACCTGTCTTCTGTTACGCCAAATGTTGGGAGGTGTATACTAACCCAACAAACCATATTGTGCCAACAGCTTCGGGTGGAGAAGCACATTGGGGAGGATACTAGCCTTATCCTAGGTTGAGGAAATGCAACCTGAAAACTTTGTGTTATGGCAGGGCAGACCAGGCCCTTCGCCTTGGCTGGCAGCTGGTCTAGGAGGGAAGCTCTGACAGGCGGCCAGATAGAGCACTGCTCTTCTGATCCAGCAGCTTCTGCAACCTGCCTCGTTCCAAACGTACTGGTTTTCCCTTTCCTTTGGAGTAAACAAGGCAGGTCGAGGGAGGGATCATTATGCATGGGCAACATATGGTCTCTACAATACTGCCCAGGCTTTGTGCTGTGGAGAGGAGGAACTTTACCCCTGGTCTAAATCGGTCTCGGAAACAAATCAGAGAGCTGCTGTTTGCAGGTGATGCTGCAATAACTACCCACTCAGAGGAGGAGCTGCAATGTTTACTGTCTGCCTTTGCTGATGTGTGCTGTGAATTTGGACTAACAGACAGCAAAAAGAAGACAAAGGTGCAAGGTGCCAATGACAGACCTACAGTCTACATTGATGGTGAAGAGCTTGAGACAGTAGACCATTTTACCTATCTGGGTTCCACAGTGAATAATAAACTATCGCTGGACCAAGAAATCAACATCAGGATAGGTAAGGCAGCAACAACAATGAGCAGATTGACAAAGAGAGTTTGGGAGAACAGAAAGCTCACAATTAAAACAAAACCCCTTGTCTATCAGGCTTGTGTTCTCAGCACTCTGCTTTATGGCAGTGAAACTTGGTCAACCTACCTGCACCAAGAGAGACGGCTTAATAGCTTTCACATGCGATGCCTAAGAAGAATACTTGGCATTAAGTGGCAGGACAAAATCACAAACACTGAGGTCGGGAAAGAGCAGGTACTACAACAGTCTTTTCCATGTTCAGTCTACGAAGGCTCAGGTGGCTGGGTCACACCTGGAGAATGGAGGATGGGAGAGTCCCTAAGGACATCCTTTATGGTGAATTAAAGACAGGAAGAAGGCCGACCTCTACTACATTATAAAGATGTATGCAAGCGGGACATGAATGATACAGATATTGAGGCAGACTCATGGGAACAAAATGCCATGAACCGTGTTGTGTGGAAAGGGCATATCAGGAAGGGAATGAGACTGAAGGAAGAAATGATTGCAGAAAGGATGAGAGCTGAGCGTCTGAAAAGAAACGGATTAAACACAATGGTCCTGAAATCCCATGCTATCATTGTGGAAGACTTTTCTTGACACGGGCGGGTCTTGCTAGTCACACTCGCCATCGCCATGGGCTATGTGTCTCATGCCTCCTCAATAAAACACTATCGTCTGGAAAGACGGAAAGGTGCCAATGAAAATGATGCTGTCCCACTAGTGAGTTAACAGTGTCTCCAATGTTGAATCAACTATGTCAGTCAGGCACCTGAATGGGACTCTGTTTCTAGGATGATCACAGAGTGGTGTAGAACCCTAGTCTTACTGCACCACCACATGTGGTTCAGCCTCAGTACCTCTATATGTGGTTCAGCCTCAGTACCCCCACATGTGGTTCAGCCTCAGTACCCCCACATGTGGTTCAGCCTCAGTACCCCCACATGTGATTCAGCCTCAGTACCCCCACATGTGGTTCAGCCTCAGTACCCCCACATGTGATTCAGCTTCAGCACAACTCATATACCACTTCTGTTGGTGTGACGGTGACATAAAGTTATGTGTATCATTACTCTAACAGCACTCTGCACCACTGCATCTCGTATTTATGTTTGCTAGACTGGATAAAAATTTGTTTAGGGTCCCCTTTTTGGCACCATTTTTGTTTTACAAACCCAGATTACACACAGGGAGAATCTCTGCACAGCGCACCAATAAAGGATCCATATTTACTTACATAGTGGTTTTTCCCAACAGTTCGGATTCCGTTGGAGCTGACCCCTCCGCGGATGTTGACATCCGTTTCTGCAGCAATGTAAGTCACCTTGGTGGCATCCACCTTGATTGTTCTAGTTTTGGGAGTGTAGCCAACAAGTCTGTGAACAAGAAACAGGCACCATATATCATATAAATAAGTAAAACAATCACATATTTTCATAATATACATCAATGTATACAACCAGTTTTTAACAGCCATTAGGTCCAGTTGTTTTTAACAGCCATTAAATCTAGCCAATCAAATGAAAGAGTCTGCAACCCTCTTGAGTACTGTCCCATCTGTCTATTGGGTTCTTTCTCTCCTAAAGGCCTTAATCTCCAGCACAGTTTTATCTAAAAACTATTTTGAATTACATCCCTTGCCATAACCCCTTACCAGCCGACCCATTCCACCTCTCTGGGTTACTTCCTGTTCAGTATCTATATCCTGCAATGATACGTGTATGCAGGAAGTCTACTGTTATGGAGATATGGTGACAGACTTCAATGAAAAGATAAGCAATTTTTTTATTCTTGTTTGCAACTACATCAGTGTTTGTTTGTGTCATATGCTGATGAAGGTGTTATGGCTGAAACATTCATTTTGTCACTCACAATTGTTAGATTGTGAAGCTGACTAGATCTACTTCTCATAAAAATGTTTTTAATCAACTGAATGAGCTTACTGGGTGTCTCACAATCATTATTACAGTACCAGAGCAAGTGAGAGCCCTACTCTGGCATCCATCCTCCCTTTTTCTTTTCTCTAGTCCCTCTTCTGCCTTTTAGCATCATGTGCGAGCCATGTCGTCTACTACACAGATGTTGGTATTCACGGCCTCAGATATTTCATCTACCCATTGATCTCTAACAGGTACTTTGGGTACTGTCTCTAAGTGCAAAAGGAAACACAAAAGTGTCCATTTATTCTGGTGGAAATTTAGTTCTAAGAACTGTTTACCCCACCATGTTGTGTTCCCCATTCTCAAGTGCCCAGACATGCGGCTGGAATGCTGCCTCTGTCAAAACGATTCAGATATCTCTAACTCTCCCAAACTTGTACAATGTGACTAGGAGTTTTTCATGTTCATACAGCCAACACATAGAAACAATGTACTTTACTGGTGAAAACAAAACTCAAGCCTCCCCATGTATGAGACCAGTATGCTAACTGGTGCGCCAACTGTGCCCTACTTGCTTTTTACTGTCAAGAAAATCTGGTCAATACTTACTTTGGCCACCTGGGACCATAAAACACATAGCAGCAGTTCTTGATACAACCTCTGGTGAATGGATTGGGCCCACCTTTAAATTTTCCTGTCACCTGTTAAAAGAAACAAGCACAATCTTAACAATGATGTTACAAAATGGACATTACAACACAGACCCCAAAAGTGTTCTGTCGTTTTCCCACTCTGGTAGACTGCACAAATTTATTGCTTCCTTGACTTCATACATCTCTGGAGCTGCTAGGTTAAGTTCTGTGTGTGTTGTGGAGTTCCATTTTGGGGTCTGATTTAAAAAAAAAGAATAGCCAAACCCCCCCCTCCCCCCCTCCCCCCCCCCCCCCTCATGTTTCAAAGTGCAACTAACTGGAGGTTTTCAGAATCATATGTGTTGGGTTGAAAGGCAAAGATATCACAGCCTTACTGTAAACAGCAACACAACATGTCAATCCTCATTTTGAGGGTAAATGCTGAAAAAGAAGAATGAGAAAACTAACAAGTTTGCATGTAGGTCCTTCTTTTTCCAGTTAAGTTTCTTATTCTTGTTTGCCGAAGCAACAGTCAAACCCACTTCACTGAGATCCATCCCTCTCAACAGATGACCCTCAGGATCCACTGACCCCCAGTGGTCTATAAAAATATGCAGCTAGCATCATATACTTAAAGACAAGGAAAAAGTTCTTTGACCCTATGTGACATCTCCTAACAAGGCACTGTATCTCTGCATACAGCTGAAGTACCTTGACATGTGACCTCAGTGACCCTTCACCAAAACTGATTTACTGATTAATGCACTGCACTGTGTCATGTTTTCTTCAATCCTCCCATTATTCTCCTTTTGTTTGCTCTCTTTCCCCGTCACAAAAAGAGTCCCATTTGTCAACACAGCTCTCAGAAACAATCAATATCAAATAAGGTTGGCCAGGGTGACCTGGTGGTTCAATGTTTGTCTCTAGCACCAATAATTTCAGCTTGCTATACAGCCCAATAACTAAACCATAAAATTTTTTTTTTTTAAATAAAAACCTCTAGATAATGTCATTTCATCTTTTTCCTCTCACACACCAACACTGTCTTACTTCTTTCCCTACTTAACGGAGCAATGGACTGAGTATCCAGAATCTATCTTCTTCTTCGCTGGTTGTAAACTTTGGCCGAAAGTTCTAGTTGTAAACTTTGGCCGAAAGTTTCGGTTGTCAACTTTGGTCAAAAGTTCTGGTTGTAAACTCTGGCAAAAGTTCTTTGGCTTAAAGTTCTTTCTGTAAACTTTGGATGAAAGTTCTGGTTGTAAACTCTGACCGAAAGTTGTGGTTGTAAACTCTGGTCGAAAGTTCTGGGTGTAAACTTTTGTAGAAAGTTCTGGTTGTAAACTTTGGTCGAAAGTTCTGGTTGTAAACTTTGGTCAAAAGTTCTGGTTGTAAACTCTGGTCGAAAATTCTGGTTGCAAACTTTGGTCGAAAGTTCTGGTTCTTTGTCCACTTCTGAACTTTAGTCTTATTCTATAACTTTGGGTGTGTGCATGCAAATCTGTTTTACAAATCTGTATTATGCACATACAGACTGTTGGTTCCCTCTCAGGCAAACACACTCTGAAGAAACAACAACTAATTAGTTAACTATTTATAACATGCTCGTTAAGGGGGCAGTGGGTCTATTATTCCAACCCCCGCCCCCTTTCCAAGGGTCTTGGAGCAACACATGCAGAAGCTATTTTCTATAATAAGAGCAAAGAACAGGAGGTCCTGTCTGAATGTTAAAGATCTGTTCTTGACCCTAAGTCTAGGGACAATTCTGGTTGTTCGTCCACTTCTGGACTTTAGTCTTGTTCCAGAGCCTGAGTTTTAAAAGCACATCTGTACTACATAGATGGCTTATTTGTATGCAGACTGTTGGGTGCTTGCTAATCAAACAGATCTCTCTGTCTTCAAATGACACACCACTATTTAGTTGATTTTTACAACATGCTTGTTGGGGGAAAGGGGTGAATCTTCTTTTTTAATCCCCTAAAATGGGCCCTGTAATCCATATGGGAGTTTTTGTAAATAATATCAAGGACTCCTTCAATATGTTCCAGGGACTCAAGGGTCCACCGACAGGGAAAGACTGAGTAATGATTTATGAGTTAGATTATCTTCACAGCACTCCGGACACATCCACAGGCACATCCACGTTGCTTCCAAAATCCTCAGAATGTCCTATCTCTTTAAGGGCAATGACAATGTCTGCGTGATCCATGGGCCGGCCATTTTCAATTAATGCAGCACCTGCCAGTCTATCAGCTCTTTCATTACCAACAACGCCTGCATGCCCTGGGACGAATATGAAGGTAACTGCACACACAGGAGAGTTTTGCAATGACTAAAATTTTGCAATGACTAAAACCACTGTCTGCGTAACTAGTCTGCCTCGACCCACCGGATCATGCTCAAAGAATCACTCAGCACACAAACGCGGGAATAGTCCTGTGATCCCAGCCACATGAAAGCCTGTGTCACAGCCATCACCTCCATCGTCATGCTGCTGGTGGTCATAAAAAAGGCACCGTTGGCTTCTTGAACTGTTCTGCCTGACGAGCGAGCTGTAAATGCCCATATGTCCTCGTATAACGGACCCGTCTGTGAAGATCACCACATCTGTCTCATCTGACTGATAAGGGAACAGGTAGGCAGTCTCATGCAAACACTCTTTAGTCATCTCTGACCACATGCTTGGCTAGCTTTACTGTTATGTTCTTCTCTTGGAACTTCTAACGAACTCGTTCTCACGACCATAGCTTTTCCCCTCCCATTTATGCTGCGGACGGTCGCATAGCCTGTCCTTTGTTGTGGGGCTGTTATGAGATGGCTTCGTTCGGTGTTCACTCGCCGAAAATAATGTTTGTGGGAGGTTTTGTTGTCGTAAGTCTCTTGCGGCGCCACAGGCGCCTGTGTATAAGTAAGAAGTACTGCAGAAGAAAGCGCAGCGTGACTGTTGGTGAGTATCGAAACTGGGATGTTTTTGTGTTTCTTTGTTACTTGGTGGTGGGTTCCTCCCATAAAAAGAAAACCACTGACGAGGAAGATAGAAATACAAAAACATCCCAGTTTTGATAGTCATGAAGCGTCGAGCAAGTAGCCCAACACGGAAATAATCATACAAGTGAGCGGTGACAACATGAGAAAAGAGACAATAGTTAAACCGTTGAAATACATAACACCCCCACAACATAAGACAGGTTGTGCGACCGGCCACGGCATGAATGGGAGGGGAAGGAACTCTTGTCGTGCAAGCAAGTTCATGATAAGTACTCTTCTCTTAACCCCCTCACCTCAGAAACCTTAAAAAATAAATGGGTCTTTAACCCGCTGGTATTACAGAATAAATTCTTTTTAACAAAAATATTTAAAAAAAAAAAAACATTTTTCAAAGGTCAATAATAAATTTTTGTAGAAAGATTTGAAAAATTTTCTTTTTCAAAAAAAAAATAAAAGATATATATGAAGGGAGTCATCAATAAACACAAAAGGGTGAAGCAATAAATGGAATACACTCCATGTGGCCTTGCAGAACATAAGTAGGGGGGTGACTCACGTCACAACCCTGTGACCTCTATCACTAATGCTTGTGGGAAAATTTGACATTAACTTGGCTTTTAATAAAACCCTTTGGTCTAAAGGAAAACCCCCTGAATGCTATTTTTGGTTCAATGTATTCATATGTTAATCAGCTAAACATTTGCGCAGGCTCAAAAATAGCAAACAGCATTTAACTATGCATCACGTAAACAGGTAACTAAAGATAAGTCGAAAAAAGTTATATTTAGAGAAATTTTGACCCAACCGGAAGTGTCGTTTTACTGCATTTTGAGGCAAAAGAGTAGGGAGCCCCTATAACACATGTGCATAATGATCACCTGGCAACTGCAAATTCCCAGAGCAGGCCAAAATAGTTTGTCCCCTAGCAGAATTTTAAGACAGACTGGGCAGGAAGATGAAGTCACACAAAACATGACACAATCATTACCTGCTCATTTGTTGTGGCACCTTTGGAGACTAGAAATATATGAAATCCTGTCAGGCCGAAAACAGGAAACAAAACTAGAACAATGATCACTGATATGACAATACTGTGTCACTGTTAAGGATGACAGTTTACTGAGTTCAGTACAGATTGTTTTCTCTCTCTCACTTACTCACATACATACATGTTGAGTCTCAATGAGTGTCACACACACACTTACTGTACCCATATGAGTATCTTCTTCTTCGTCTTCACTTCCTCATTTACTGCTTCAAGTGTTGAAGAAGATATCTGGTTCTGTTTCTTGCTCTTCTGGCTACTTCAGGCTTAGACATATGGTGCTGTTGTAGAGTTTCTCTGATGTTATCTTTTCCTCTTGTTCTTGGTCTACCTTGTACTCTACATCCTTCTTCTCTTTTTGTGTATGCCTTATTTGGTAAGTGGGCAAACCATTTGATTTACTGTCTTTGTATTAATTTAGAATTGGTTCTGTGTCGATCTGATCTACTATGATCTCAGTGCTGATTTTATGCCTTATGGTCACTTCTGCAGCCCTGCAATGAGTACCAGTCACACACATATATACTGAGTCTGAATTCATGTCATAAGCATACATATTGAGTCATGATGCGTCTTTCTCTCTCTCTCACTTGCTCAGAAGCCCACACAAACAAGGTCAAGTCCTGACTGGCGTCACACACCCAACTCAAAAAATGGATACACAATGATGGGACCTGGGTGTAACAAGTCCTCTTCATGCTGGATGATGTAAAAGACACACTGGGCAAGGATCGTCACTATGTGCAGGCATAAGGTTAGCAAAAATGTCAGAAAGTAACGGTAGTTCCTACGCCCGATGCAATTGTTCAACCACGGACAATGATGGTCAAATGTCTGCAATACAAGCAAAATCAACTGTTTTCACATCACATCTGCAATATAAAAAAACAGTGTCACAGTAACATAGTGACTAACGATTTGTGTGTGTTGTTCTCAGATTTCAAGCCTTTCATGGAAGGAGATGTGTTGAATAAAATATAGGAAAGATTCAACAAAACAAGGATTCAATAACTGCTTGAATAACTCATAAACTTCCGGTAATGCTATATTAACCTTTTCTAAGCAGGAAGAACACAGATGTAAATGTTCAACATAATTAACTTCTAGCATCCTTTGGATATTTTCTCCAGGTCATACTGGTGTGTTGTGAAATTAACAGGCAGATAGACTAGCTGGTTCTACATCACTTGATGGTGAACTCATGCATGAAAAACTAGACATTGTAAGAGTCTCCTGGAAGCGAGTGAACAGTGCGGAGGCATCATTAGGGTCTGAGGAAAATCATCCTGCAAGGTGTGACCAGGAGATCTGACCAACGCTCAACACTCAAGGGGAAAGTGAGACGGAGCTGGTGTCACTGGAACTGGAACTCTGCACTTGCTGCTGAAGATAGGGATGGAGCGCTTACAGGAATGGAAATGTCCCAAGTGCTGTGGTGTTTATTTTCAATTCATGTTTATAAGTTAGAGTACACATGTTCCTGGAAGTGACAGATGTGTTTCCTGGTATAACAACTACAGCTGTCAACTTTTAGTTTGTAGAGTATCTTACTTACTTTACTTAGTCACTCCTCTTCTACCTTGGGGTGTAGAGGTTTGCCAGAGAGATCGCCAGACGTCTCTATCAGCAGTTTTCTTTCTGGCTTTGTTCCATTCCAGTCCTCTGTCGGTTAGGGACTGTCGGATGTTGTCTTCCCAGCGCACCCTGGGTCGTCCCGGAGGTCTGGTTCCCTGGTTCTTAGCCTCCCATGCTTGCCATGGTGGCCGATTTTCTCCCATTCTGCATACATGTCCAAACCATCGTAATTGTGACTGATCTACTCGGATTTGTAAGGACTGGGTATCAAGATCTTGACGTATTGTCTGATTGCGGACTTTGTCCCTTCTTGTCACTTGGACCACCTTTCTCAAGTATCTCATTTCCGAGGCCTGCTTTGTATAGTATCTTTGAACACAAATTCCTAAAGAGAATGTTGAAAATAAAATGGGATGAATTGAAGAGGGGTGCTGAAATTGGAGAAATTGTCTGGGTCATCATCATGTAGCAGGTCCTTCGCATAACGTCGCTCTCATCAAGGTCTGCCTGAAAGAAACTCGGTTTCTCACCAGTTTTCTCACCTCATGTACTTTCATACTCAAGGAGTCACTTATATCCTGTGCCCATCTATGTTTCGGTCGGCCCCTGCCCCTCCTTCCTGGTACCATGCCTTCTGCTATAATCTTTTTCCAATCCCTCATGAAGCTTGATCTGACCAATATATTTCAGCTATTTCAGCTTCAGAAAAAGTATGCTGTTTATTAGCCAATCTTCCTCGATGTTCAGATCTTTTAAGATGTCAATATGTCTCCTCTTCTTTGTCCAAGATATTCTGAGAATCTTTCTATAGCATTTTAGCTCAAAACCCCATATTCTCTTTCTTAAGGACTGAGAGATAGTCCACAACTCATATTCGTATGTAGCCACAGGAAAGATGCATGCTCTAAAAATTCTAATTTTGATCTCCTTGCTGGTGCTTAACCATAGACTTTTAAGGCTGTTCAATCTTTGCATTGCTATGGCCATCCTCCTTTTAATTTCTGTTGAACAGTCTCCATTGCTGTTTATTATAGAGCCTAGATATTCAGTTTGTGACATTTTCAATTTCTTCATCATTTATTGTTATTTTTAGGTGACAGCCAGTTTTATTTGTAGACATTATTTTAGTTTTCTTTAAATTCAGTAACAGATTTTGATCTTCACTGTGCTTTTGGACAATTTTAAATTTTCTATTCCCTTTACGCTGTTCGAAAGGAGGACTGTGTCATCTGCATAGCGGAGTTCCAGAACAGGGTTGCCACCAATTTTGAGCGGATCATAACTGCCACAAGTCTGGTCATTTTTGACATTTCTCATTATATTTTCTGCGTAAATTGAAAAGGTATGGTGAGAGAATGAACCTCTGCCTCACCCCCTTTTGCACCTCAAACCAATCAGATGTTTACAAGTAATAGAAGCTGAGACAAAGAAGATGTGCTACAGTGGACAAATCTTGAGAATAAATGAGCAGAGAATCACCAAACAGGTATAGAAATGAGAAATAAAAGGACTGAGGAGGATTGAGGAAGCAGGACATAAAAAAGAAACCCTAAAACAAATGTTAATGAGAGAGGTCAAAGGTGTTGAACTGAATTCCACCCATGACATTTAAGGAACTGGAAAGCACTAAGTGATAAATAATGGCACAACATAACAATCATAATGAAGACAGTGCGTCTTTTAATCTCTACTTCTTTCCTTTACATCTCTGAGTGCCAGTCAGTGTTTGTTTAGCATGCTCCACCTTTCTAATACATAAAGCAGCACTTATTCAATGTAAGAGTAAAATATTCTAACTCTGGCACTAGATTTGACTTCCACAGATTTCGTAGCACCACAAAAACTCATCCTGCATTCTTCTTTTTCTTCCTCTGCATTTGTCCTCAAAAGGGTGTTTGGTATGTTGTGTTGTGGTTTACAGCCAGGCTGCAATATTTGTGCCCTTTGACTCAACCCATACGAATCCAGCAAAACAATACTAATTAGTCGTCTATTTGATTTGCTTGTCAGTGGGTATTAACGCCCCCCATAGGGCCCTGGAACCCACATGGAGACCACCTATATGAAAACTTACATCTATACAATTATCACAAGAGCTACAGTGTGAGCTGCGAGGTGGCCGATAGAACTGGCAGGTTGTGCACCATTTCATTCGTGTAGGAACACCTCGGATCTCAATATTTTTGTACAGTGGCGAGCGGAAATCATCATCTTTGGCTTCATCATCTGGGGCTGGAAATTAGATAAGATCATTGTTGTTATGTGGAAATAATTATCAATATTTTACAGACAAGATCATTGAATTTAAAGACCTAAGATCATTCAAGTTACACAGATTTAAAAAAAAATGGATGTTACACAAAGAAGATCACTGATGTTACAAAGCTAAGAACACTGATGTTACACACATATGATTATTAATTTTAAACAGACAAAATCACTGATGCTACAGAGATAATGTCACTGAAGTTACTGATGCTATAAAGATATGATCACTGATGTTACAGAGATAAAGTCACTGAAGTTACTGATGTTATGAAGATATGATCACTGATGTTGCAGAGATAATGTCACTGAAGTTACTGATGTTATAAAGATATGATCACTGATGCTACAGAGATAATGTCAATGAAGTTACTGATGTTATTAAGATATCACTGATGTTACAGAGATAACGTCACTGAAGTTACTGATGTTATAAAGATATGATCACTGATGTTACAGAGATAACGTCACTTAAGTTACTGATGTTATAAAGATATGATCATCACTGATGTTACAGAGATAATGTCACTGAAGTTACTGATGCTATAAAGATATGATCATCACTGATGTTACAGAGATAATGTCACTGAAGTTACTGATGCTATAAAGATATGATCATTGATGTTACAGAGATAAAGTCACTGAAGTTACTGATGTTATAAAGATATGATCACTGATGCTACAGAGATAATGTCAATGAAGTTACTGATGTTATAAAGATATCACTGATGTTACAGAGATAACGTCAGAGAAGTTACTGATGTTATAAAGATATGATCACTGATGTTACAGAGATAACGTCACTAAAGTTACTGATGTTATAAAGATATGATCATCACTGATGTTACAGAGATAACATCAGTGAAGCTACTGATGTTATCAAGATATGATCACTGATGTTACAGAGGTAAATTCATTGATGTTACAGAGACATGGTCATTGATGTTACACAGATATGATAACTGATGTTATAGAAATAAGATCATTGATGTTACACAGATTAGGTAACTGATGTTACAGAGATAAGATCACTGAAGTTACTGATGTTATAAAGATAAGAAGAGGGCCAGATCAGTCCATGGGCCATCAGCATTGTTAAAGAAAAAAATAACACTGAAGATTGGTGAATCAGCCATGTGTAACATAAGGTAAGACATGTTTGGTATCACAAGGAAAAGTGTGGTATGGTATCTTAGGGAAAGGGATGATTTGGTATCATAGGGAAAGGGGTGATTTGGTATCATAGGGAAAAGTGTTTTTTTTGGTATCACATGGAAGTGGTTTGTTATCATAGGGAAAGCTGTGGTGTGGTTTCACAGGGAAATGTTTCTTTTGGTATCACAGGAAAAGGTGTGTTTTGGTATCATAAGGAAAGGTGTCCTTTGGTATCACATGGAAAGGTGTCTTTTGTTATCATAAGGAAAGGTGTCCTTTAGTATCACAGGGAAAGGTGTGTTTTGAAAAAAATATCCAAAGAACACTAATTACCCGGGACCTGTGAAGTGATCCTTGTACTTGAAGGCTACAGAACCTAAGATCTCTACAGTGGCAGAAGGATTGACTACTTTTCTGCCACAGGTGTACCCAAAATATCAAGTATGGGTGGGACAAAAACATCAAGTGTGGGTGAGACAAAAGCATCAAGTGTGGGTGGGTAAAAACATCAAGTGTGGGTGAGACAAAAATATCAAGTGTGGGCGAGACAAAAATATCAAGTGTGGGTGAGATGAAAATATCAAGTGTGGGTGAGACAAAAATATCAAGTGTGGGTGGGACAAAAACATCAAGTGTGGGTGAGACAAAAAATATCAAGTGTGGGTGAGACAAAAACATCAAGTGTGGGTGAGACAAAAATATCAAGTGTGGGTGAGACAAAAACATCAAGTGTGGGTGAGACAAAAATATCAAGTGTGGGTGAGACAAAAACATCAAGTCTGGGTTTTGACCCCCAAAAAAGTCAATGTAAGTCAGGTATGCTACTGACCTCTAGGAAATATTCCAGGATCCATAAAAGTTGACAGGCACAAATTGAGCATCATAAAAATTGTGATCACTCCCTGCACAATTGGAAAGGCATAGCTGTAGAGTTCTGTCATATACCTACAGCTGAAAATAATCACAGAGAAGTATGTTAACAAGTTTCACATTACATAAACATTAACAAGCAATTCAACAAACACAGAACAATAAATCTGAGAAAACACAGGCCAACTTTTAGCTCTGTCCACATAAAAAAATATATAGTTCAATATGAACCACACACAGAACAGGCCCTAAATCAGCCGGTGCCAAGCCATCCTATCCATTGTCATTTCATGTGGCTCATTCTGCATCCTTACTATGTTTGTAATCTGGTGATTTAAAAATGTTTTATTACTTAATTAACTTCTGTTGGACTTTGTGTCCCTGCATTGGCTGGAAGGGGTGGGGGGGGGGGGGGGGGGGGGGGGCATCATTTAGAAGGAGGGTGAGGGAGAGGAAGGAGAATAGACCCATTGCCCTGTAACAAGCATTTTGTAAAAGTTTACTTTTCCAGAAGGTGTTTTCTTCAAAGTCGGAGTTAACAGCTGGTGAATGTGATGAAGGAGACAGATGTGGACAAACAACTGGGGCGTTTTGCTGTAGTTTACAGACAGTGAACATGAAAAAGTGGATGAACAACCAGAACGTTCCCTGAGAGTTTACAGCCAGTGAACATGAACAAGTGGATGAACAACCAGAACGTTCCTTGAAAGTTTACAGCCAGTGAACATGAACAAGTGGAGGAACAACCAGAACGTTCCCTGAGAGTTTACAGCCAGTGAACATGAACAAGTGGATGAACAACCAGAATGTTCCCTTAGAGTTTACAGCCAGTGAACATGAATAAGTGGATGAACAAACAGAATGTTCCCTTAGAGTTTACAGCCAGTGAACATGAACAAGTGGATGAACAAACAGAATGTTCCCTTAGAGTTTACAGCCAGTGAACATGAACAAGTGGATGAACAACCAGAACGTTCCCTGAGAGTTTACAGCCAGTGAACATGAACAAGTGGATGAACAACCAGAACGTTCCCTGAGAGTTTACAGCCAGTGAACATGAACAAGTTGATGAACAACCAGAATGTTCCCTGAGAGTTTGCAGCCAGTGAACATGAATAAGTGGATGAACAACCAGAATGTTCCCTTAGAGTTTACAGCCAGTAAACATGAACAAGTGGATGAACAACCAGAACGTTTCCTGAGAGTTAACAGCCAGTGAACATGAACAAGTGGATGAACAACCAGAATGTTCCCTTAGAGTTTACAGCCAGTGAACATGAACAAGTGGATGAACAACCAGAATGTTCCCTTAGAGTTTACAGCCAGTGAACATGAACAAGTGGATGAACAACCAGAATGTTCCCTTAGAGTTTACAGCCAGTGAACATGAACAAGTAGATAAACAACAAGAATGTTCCCTTAGAGTTTACAGCCAGTGAACATGAACAAGTGGATGAACAACCAGAATGTTCCCTGAGAGTTTACAGCCAGTGAACATGAACAAGTGGATAAACAACCAGAACGTTCCCTGAGAGTTTACAGCCAGTGAACATGAACAAGTTGATGAACAACCAGAATGTTCCCTTAGAGTTTGCAGCCAGTGAACATGAACAAGTGGATGAACAACCAGAACAATCCCTGAGAGTTTACAGCCAGTGAACATGAACAAGTGGATGAACAACCAGAACGTTCCCTTAGAGTTCACAGCCAGTGAACATGAACAAGTGGATGAACAAACAGAATGTTCCCTGAGAGTTTACAGCCAGTGAACATGAACAAGTGGATGAACAACCAGAACATTCCCTGAGAGTTTACAGCCAGTGAACATGAACAAGTTGATGAACAACCAGAATGTTCCCTTAGAGTTTGCAGCCAGTGAACATGAACAAGTGGATGAACAACCAGAACGTTCCCTGAGAGTTTACAGCCAGTGAACATGAACAAGTGGATGAACAACCAGAACATTCCCTTAGAGTTCACAGCCAGTGAACATGAACAAGTGGATGAACAAACAGAATGTTCCCTGAGAGTTTACAGCCAGTGAACATGAACAAGTGGATGAACAACCAGAATGTTCCCTGAGAGTTTACAGCCAGTGAACATGAACAAGTGGATGAACAACCAGAACGTTCCCTCAGAGCTTACAGCCAGTGAACATGAACAAGTTGATGAACAACCAGAATGTTCCCTTAAAGTTTGCAGCCAGTGAACATGAACAAGTGGATGAACAACCAGAATGTTCCCTTAGAGTTTACAGCCAGTAAACATGAACAAGTGGATGAACAACCAGAACGTTCCCTGAGAGTTAACAGCCAGTGAACATGAACAAGTGGATGAACAACCAGAACGTTCCCTTAGAGTTTACAGCCAGTGAACATGAACAAGTGGATGAACAGCCAGAACGTTCCCTTAGAGTTTACAGCCAGTGAACATGAACAAGTGGATAAACAACAAGAATGTTCCCTTAGAGTTTACAGCCAGTGAACATGAACAAGTGGATAAACAAGAATGTTCCCTTAGAGTTTACAGCCAGTGAACATGAACAAGTGGATAAACAACAAGAATGTTCCCTTAGAGTTTACAGCCAGTGAACATGAAAAATAAGAAGACAGAAGTGGAAGAACAACCTAAATTCAGCCGAAATGTACAGCTGGTGAATGTGAAGAAGAAGATAACAAGTGCAGACCCGGACAGACTACCAGAACTTTCCACTAGAGTTTACAGTCGGTCAAGGCCAAGAAGAAGAAGGAGCTAGTGCAAGGACACTCTAGTTATATTATTATCAGGTTTTATTGACACATGTCATATCCAGTGCCAGCACCTTTTCTCACCTTTTGGTTTCCTGGAAGTAAGTTTCACACTACTGATCCAGTCATACCATTCCATTCCTTCTATTCTACACAGGCACAAGTTAATATTTATCCTCTGTTGTTCCACTTTTTCGTCTTTCCAGATGACAGTGTTCCATTAAGTTAGGACCATTATAAGAACAAAACAAATCAAGAATTGCATAGAAAATCAACAACTCAAGCAAGTAAAAGACTTCAAGTATCGAGGGAGCTTAATTTCATCCAACAGAAAACGGAAGCAAAAACAGAACACACTGTAATAAAGCAAATCACTGGATGGTCACCAATACAGCAGAATAAACATGTAACAACTGACATTAGAAAAGCACCCACTGCTGAGTACAGTATTTTATTTTTACCAACATGTGTTACTAGTGCCAATGAAAGAAAAAAGAATAATTTAAACAAAAGAAATGAAATGTCTAACATGAATCCTGAATGCACTAAAAGAGGGAGATCACAAATGATATCAGGAAACAAGTTGGGATGGAACCAGTACTTAATTACATCAAAAGATCAAATGGTTCGGACATGCGTCAAGAACTACTACCAGATAGTGCACCACAGAGAGCCCTGTCACTTAGAGACAACGAATGCAGATCTAGAGGGTGACCATGCAAGCGATGGATAGATGGAATATCCAAAGCTAAGAATACCAGCATCACATATTAAGGCCACACCAGATGCCTTTTCATAACCTGAAGCTGAAAGGCAGAAATGGTCTAAAGGAGAAGTGTTCCACTGTGCTATAGGAAGGCATAGGAATCTTAGCCCATGACAATGCTAATAAGGTCAGGGATGAAGTTCCTCCCCTCCCTAGCACAAAGCCTCAACAGCATTGTTGAGACGCTGTGCTGCACATGCAGCACAATCCCCACTCAGAATGCTTTGTTAACTTCAAAGGACAGGTAACATGTTTATCACTTAGAGAGTAAATTACTAACATATGAACACTTTCTGATCACAGAATAAAAGGAAAATATAGTGCTCTCTTAGGAGCGTCTGTGGCTAAGGTTGTGAATGCCCTTTGTAATTCCAAGGTGCCGAGTTTCAATCCCAGCTGCTGTCAATTTAGCAGCAGATAACCTAGTGTTGGTTAGGATGGTGGTACCGGAGGCCACTTGGTCAACAAGCAATGACACAATACTGAACCTAAAGTTGCCTAATGAAATCACAAACAGTGAATAAAGATTAAGGGGTTGGTTTTGCAAAATCATGTTAAGGATACACAACTAACTTTTGTGTGTGAGTGCCTTTTAGGAACAAACAAAAATAGTTATATAAGATGCTCTTCTTGGAATAAAATACAATAAAGAACACAAGGTATTCTTTTAAGAACAGAATAAATTAGCAATGAAAAATGCGGACTTTCTGCCAAGGAACAAATCGCAACAAAACTAGGATTACTTGACAATTTCCAGAGATGCAACATTTCAGACGATAGTAGCAGACGATAAAAGCGACCGGTGACAATTTCGAGACATTACAAACGATGAAAGCGATATGGCGGGTAGACCACGCGCTCCCATGAAGATTAGCAATACTGTTCTTCCGATTGAGGATTTAGATGTCAGACTTGTCGGCATGCGTAAAACGCGATTAAACTCACTGCCGAATGTATCTATCCCAGCGCCGCTATGTGCGCCTGGGACTCACGAGCAAAGTAATTGGAGGAAGTTGCAGGGGATGCGGTAGCTGCCGCTCGTGAGTCCCCGCCATCTAGTCTAGTCCCTATCCGCGCCACGCGTAGCGGCGCAGGGGATACGCTCGGCAGTGAGGCATAGTCACAGAAACAGGTCCGCAAGTAACATATCGCTGAGACCCTGTTAAAGCATTTGTTTTGTTTTTCCGAGCCGATCGTAGATTTGCCGCGATTTGTTCGTCGGCAGAAAGTCTGACAAGTCCGTATTTTACATATTTGTTCCTCGGCAGAAAGACCGACAATGGAAAGTGTCAACGGTCGCTATTATCGTTTGCTACTATCGTCTGCAGTGTTGCATCTCTTAGAATTGTCAGGTAATCAGAAACAATAAGAAACAGGTCCGCAAGTAACATATCGCTGAGACTCTGTTAGAGCATTTGTTTCGTTATACGGAGCCGGCATATTTTTAATAGAACTGAGCCCCGAACGGATATTTTAGGCCGCCATAATGCGGGGGTAGAAGTTCGGAGGAGAGCCTCAATGAGTAACAAACAGTGCTATTTCAAACTGGTAATTTATTCCCACATTTCGTTGTTTTGATACTGACAAATCACCAACCCTTGTTTAATTTGTTAGATAAGAGCTGTAAACGGTGTCAGTGTCTAGTGTGAAATATAGCGGTACATTTTATTCGATGATTCTTTTCCTCTTTTTAATTATTAGCAGTGACTTAACGTAAGAGATAGGAATACGTAATGAACTGAGAGAGAACATGCGAAGAATGGGACTTACACAAAGGCAAAGTACAAGCCAGTGCACACAATTATCAGTGACCATGCAAATGTTGCTGGGATGGTCTTCGTAGAAAGCTCACACTTCGACATGTTTCTATGCTAACTTATCACAGCACACTCATTAAGTAATTGGGACGGGATAATCAGGTAAGCCCATTTGGCTGCTGCTACTTTGTCGACTGCTGCGTTTCCAGACAACTCATTCTTCTGGCAAAATCTGCTTCACAACACATCTCTCGTAAATGTTGGATACTCGATATTTACACAGATAAATCCCGTTAAACGTAAGAAATGTGATTATAAACCGTGAAATAATGAAAACAGAACAGATTTGTCAAATTGTGAGGATTGAAGCGATTCTCCAGGTGCGAAAAGTGATGCAGAAGTGACTTCTGCTGCTGTTTTTACGCATGCGCGATGGCCACATCCGGTAAGGTCCATCCACAATGGCCGCTGGTATCAACATAGAGTCAGTCGACCGTCACTTTTTCTTTCTCTAATTATGTCGATGAAAAGTTAATTATAGCTCAGATTTACGCACAGCTAGACAACGTGCTTGTCGGTTAACAACAGACGATAGGTTTTGTAAGTTGTGAATTAATCTTGAGCCGATATTTGAAGATTCTATCATGGGAAATAAGCTGGCCTCGCACATTCAATCGCAGCTTCAACATCCGAAAAGGAAAATCTCAAATGATCATGGTAATTATAATGCTCTGGATGGTGGTGAAGACGTGGAATCTGACAAAGCGAACTCAAGAAAAAATCGTAAACAGCTGACAATAACTCTCATGAAGTTGTTCGAAGTAAGTTTTCTGTGATTTGTTACTTAAGTTACTTCATACAATATACAATGTCGCCAATCCAAGGTCAAAAATTAAAAACAAATAATACCATATGATATCGTCTATTATAATCAAAACGTTAACATAACAGTTAACACAATCTTCCTTTCATAAGCCATAACTCATAAGTAGATTAAGTCGTTTGTAATTGTAAGTTTTTAAGTGAACAATCAAGCTTATCTTGTACTTTAAGAAAGTTATGTTAACTATAATTTTCATTGTTTGATTAGTAAAACTATAATTTAATAATGTTAATTATTATTAATACAATTGTCAATTAATCTAAAAGTATTATTATTAATATATAATTATAATAATATAAACAAATTCACACCAGAATCTAAAGTTCCATCATAATGATCATATGGTTCCTATTAACTTGTTATAGTATTACCCAAAAATTAAATATACTTTTAATTATAACATGATAATGATTGGACAAAGAAGACACGAACAATAATAGATTGCACATTTTATTGTCAATTAATCTAAAAGTATTATTATTAATATATAATTATAATAATAAAAACAAATTCACACCAGAATCTAAAGTTCCATCATAATGATCATATGGTTCCTATTAACTTGTTATAGTATTACCCAAAAATTAAATATACTTTTAATTATAACATGATAATGATTGGACAAAGAAGACACGAACAATAATAGATTGCACATTTTATTGCCTGGCATATTTTGCTGTATCTTATCTTGTCAGGTGAATACTGCAGTAACAATTACATAAATGATGCCAAAAAGTGAATCCTTTATGTGCAATCTATTGTTTGTGTCTTCTTTGTTTAAATTTACAACAGGGAAACATTGCTTTGCTTTGATTATGAATCAATGAATGGGTTTGTGAAAAACCTGAACATGTCTTTTCACTAAGTAGAAATTTGGTAAACAGTAAACAATTTTTTTTCTCAGAAACTTGAACTAACTCAGGATGAGGGCAACAAACATCCAGGAGAGTTGTCAAGAATTGCATTTGAGGTGAGCTAATTACGAATATTATATTGTTATCATTTAGTAAGTTGATGAATATTAATTAAACATGCACATCTGATTTGCCAGTTGTGTCAGATTATTTCTTGTTTTTTGGTTCTCTTCTGTTTTCATGAAACTGTGGTTATCAACTTATTGTTTGTATTACATAATTATTGTTATACTTAATGTTTTTCATCCCAAATAACACATATTTTGCTATTGGCAAATTGCACTTCCTATATATGATAAATGGACAATATATTGATTGGCACTCATAAAAAGAAATATAAAGATAGGACACGCTTGACAACATATGCACTAACTAAATGTAAACAGTTAAAACAGACTGTAGACTGTGGGAAAGTAATAGAAAAACACTTATTGTTTCCTCCCCCATTATATAGAAGCTGTGATTCTCTAGGACTCAGAAATAGTTACATGATGTCACACTATAGGGTGATTGTTGACTCAGTCTCATATATAACTTCACCAGTGTTTTAACTATAATCAATATCAGTTGGGTTTCTCTGTCAGTGTCCCTTTATTTTTGTGCCTTCTTCTTCTTCTCTTCCACCTTGTACCTCATCGAAGTGTCGGGGGGAGATGTAATGTTCGTTGATGAGCTCTGTCAAGAGCACTATTAAGACTGATGTTCATTTCTGTAAGGCTGTTCTTAATGCCATCACTCCATCTTTTCCGAGGTCTTCCACTCGCTTTATACCCGTTGTAACGTTTTAGTGTGGCTCGTTGTGGCAGATAGTACCAGGGCATTCTTGTTAGGTGTCCAAACCATTTCATTTGTTGTTCTTTGATGACCTGTAAGACTGGCTTTATTCCTAGCATTCGTCTGATTTCATGATTTTGTATTCTGTCTTTCCTTGAAACTCCTGCAGCTCTTCTAAGGCATTTCATCTCTGTTGTCACAATTTTACGTTCATTGGAGGATGTAAGTGTCCACGTTTGGCACTGATAGCATAATATTGGCCAAAAAATAGTTCTGATAAGATTCACTTTAGTACTCTGAGGTATCTGCTTGTGTGTCAACAGGGGAGATAGTTGACCCATTACTTGATTAGCTTTGGCACATCTGGAGCTAATTTCTCTGTCCAGTTTTCCGTCTGAAGTAAAAATTGCTCCCAAATACTTAAATTCCTCTGTCTCAGGGTGTTGTTTTTTAATTTAATTTCTAAATTGTCTTTATGTCTTCCTATCATCATTGTCTCTGTCTTCGTAGTGTTTATTTTCATATTATATTCCTCCCCTTTGTTACTAATTTGATTTAGGTGGTTCTGTAGGCATTCCATATTTTCTGCTATGAGTACCTGGTCGTCGGCAAAAAGTAATTCTGTTATATCTTCTCCCTGATTAAAGTCTGTTTCGCTACATATGGCGTCCATGTATGTTATGAAAAGAAGCGGCGATAGTACACAGCCCTGACGCACACCAGAGTTCACTATAAAAGTTCTAGACAACCCTGCCTTTGATCTTATGCAGCATTCACTACGTGTGTACAGGCTTTTGCAAATATTAATGAGATGATTGCTGATTCCTTTTTTCCCTATACATTCCCACAACATATTCCTGTCGACTCTATCGAAGGCTTTTTCTTGGTCTATGAATGTCAACAAACATGTCTTATCATGTTCTATTGCCCTCTCTGATAGTTGTCTCAATGTATAAATGGCATCTGTGCAACTTCTGTTTCGTCGAAAGCCCATCTGTGCTTCTGAAAGTTGATACTCTATCAATGGTCTCAGCCTTTTTTCGATGATCGTAGCATACATTTTCCCAGTGTGACTGAGAAGTGATATTCCTCTGTAATTAGTACATTCCCTCTTACTTCCTTTATTTTTCCACAGCGGGACAATGACAGCAGTTTGCCAATCTGATGGTGTTTCTTGATTTTCCCATGCCACCTGAAATATTCTCTTTAACCATATTGCTCCCGTTTCTCCTGCTGCCTTGATGGCCTCAGCTGGTAGATCATCAATACCTGTCGCCTTTAGTCTAGGCGCGGTTCGAATGACATATTGTTCTCATTTTGTTGAATGGCTTTTTTGTTTGAATCACTAATAATCAGTTGTTAAGTGGAAATTATCACTTCACTCTAAATAATCCTAAAATATAAAACTGAGTAGTTTTGTTGTAATGTATATCTCTGTATGTTCTCATTGTCAGTTTGCTGTAAATTATTTGTGATGTCCGATTTCACTCACCCCACCATTTCATTGCCCCCTAGTAATTATTCTCCAATCACCATTTTTTGTGTTACTTTTTTCAGAGTGCTTTTCAAGGACCCTTGCACTTATTTGGTAAATTGCTGTACCGGCACATGATGACAGTCAGTGTCACCACAAACCGAGAGAGAATTACACGAGAGCAGTTTGTCAAGGCTGGCAAGGAGATCCTGATGATGTACGAGGAAAAACAGCTTGTCCGATTCTACTTCCATTTCTTCGCTGAAGGAAAAGATCACCTGACCATCGATGGTAATTTGCTAATTTTGTTGTTATAGTCAAACACAAGACATGTGCGTCTTTAGTTTTAACATGTCCATATTGTCTTTTTTGTGTGTGCTTTGTCTAATTTATGTCATTTTCTTGTACTTCATGTAATTGGAGTAATTTTAATACTAGATGCTTACCTTACTAAACACATATTACATATCACTGATTTAAAACATATCTTACTAAGCACACATTACATGACTTTATTTTTCTAACCTACCTTACTAGTCGGTGTCTGACTTTGTAATGTCGTATGGATTCAATTCGGCAACAGAACGTCTTATGTTGTTTTCTACAGTGGTACGGAAAGCTGACTGTTCTTATGTTGTTTTCTACAGTGGTACGGAGAGCTGAATGTTCTTATGTTGTTTTCTACAGTGGTACGGAGAGCTGACCATTCTTATGTTGTTTTCTACAGTGGTACGGAGAGCTGACCATTCTTATGTTGTTTTCTACTGTGGTACGGAGAGCTGACCATTCTTATGTTGTTTTCTACAGTGGTACGGAGAGCTGACCATTCTTACGTTGTTTTCTACAGTGGTACGGAGAGCTGACCGTTCTTATGTTGTTTTCTACAGTAGTACGGAGAGCTGACTGTTCTTATGTTGTTTTCTACAGTGGTACGGAGAGCTGACCATTCAGAAGCCGTGGCACACTACTGAACATAAAATAATCCGAGAAAAACCGCAACAGTAAAAAAATTCTGGAGTTGGTTCTGCAACGTCCTGTAAAGGATACACAACTGAATTTTAACCTTTCTAAACACATATTACATATCTCTGTCTTGCTTACTAAACACATATCATGTATTTCTGTTTTTTTTTTTCTGCCCACCTTAGTAAATACATATTACATAACTCTGTTGTTAGATACTTACCTTGCTAAGCACATATTGCATATCTCTGTCTATAGATATTTCCTTTGCTTAATTAACATACAATACACAGCTATGTTTCTAGATGCCAAACACATGTTATATATAAAGTTCATTTGTTCATATTATATATCTCTTATGTTTATATATAAACACATATCTCTTTCTAGATGCCAAACGGATGTTTGAGGTCTCATTTGCCCTCACTCTGTCCCTGTCTCAAATTCTCTACAAGGAAGATGAAAGGGATCCCCGTATGTTCTCAGCTATGGCCACTGGCCTGGTAAGTAGTGTGTTGTTTTTTTATGAGCGGTGGTTTTTTTTAAAAGCTCTGTATACAATAAATAGTTACGGCTAGGTCAGTTGCCTTGTTTTGGTATTACCAGCCTAAATGAGGAATTATGTATCTGTTTCACTTTGCAAGTACAGTTGATTGTCATTGTTATTTTAAAAATAAAAATGGATCAGCTGGCAGATGTGATCAGATGTGTGTCTTTCACATACACAGGCTCACATTTCTAGTGAACACTCATGAATAAGTTATAGAACAGGAGCAGTTAAACATGTGCTTAAGTTAACCTGTTTTTGATTGTGCTTTGTTTATGTATATTTTTACAGTTTGGAATTAAGACAGAAATCAACCATGATGAATTCAGCAAGTGGTTAAATGAGTCGTGTCCTCACTTGTTTCACTCCGTCCATAACTGGGTGTCAAAGATCCTGACTGGCTCGTCTTTACCTCAGGAGATGGTATGTCATTCTTAAACCTGCTTCTCTGCCTTCATAGTAAAATTTCATTAATTTGTTATATCTTATTAGTTTGCTATAACCTATGTTATTAACTCGATGTCACAAGTAACATTGGGTTAAATCAGCTTTGTCCAAATGTACAGAGCAATTCATGGTGTGTTGTTGCATCTTTTTTTTTGTAGGCTCCATTGCCTCATTGTGTTTTGGGGGGAGGGGGGGGGGGGAGGTTGGTCCACTGTAACGTGTTTTAAAAATAATTAAAAAAAATTTTTTTTTAAACTTTTAAGAAATATGCCTTTCCCAATGAAACTCAACTATAGCACAATATGTTCTCTTACATTGGTAACATTTGGTCAGTGCATACTAAAGACATCTGGCTTCCCAACTGACCACTCCTACTATGTGTTTAGCTTCAGTGAATGTCATATCTAGACCATATTCTTTTTGTACGGCCTCTTCTTGTTGGAAAATGTAAGAACTTACCCTAGGCCTGTGGTGGGAAGGGAGTGACATGAACATGTAGCAGATTCTTCACAGAACATTGAAGCCTGTCTTAAAAAAAACTAGAACCCTCAACAGTTCTCATGCATTTTCCTGCCCAGGCTGTCTCTTGTGTCCTTTCTTGGTCAGCTGCTGTTCTTGTTTGGTACCATGCCCTCTGCCACTGTTCTTTTATGTCCACCAGTCCCAAATCCAAGCCATACTAATCAAGAAAATGCTGCAGCCTTTTTAGATTGACTCCAGACCACTGTCTCAGCAGGCACCATGTGCTGTGTAATAAATCTTGACTGTCCATTTTCGTAGCAGTATCTCCCACATTCTGTTATGGAGTCTTAGAAGACTTAAAAGAGCTCACAGATAATTAAGTCATCAGTTACTCGTTATTATTATAATTTTTTTTTTCAATTGGACCTTCAGGAAGTGGCAAGAGTGCCGCAGCTAGAAGGAGTGGTGGGTACCAACAACTGTACTTCCATGGCCATCTTGTGGCTGTTGTCCATTACTCTTCCTGCCATCTACACCAAGCCGCCTCCGAATCCGACTGCAGATGGGGCTTCTTCCAGCACAAAGGACCCCATGCTGACTTCTATGCTGCTGTTGAGAAAGATGGTACTGTGATATGTCTATACTGTTTGCGCATGTCTGTTTGATTGACTCCAGGGAGTTGTAGTTGCCATCTAAGTTAACATGTTTAGATTTCCATTTGAAGGTTTACTATTTACGTAAACCTCGGATTGAAGCCATGTGACTCCTCTGTCCCCTGTTATCATCAAGTTAGTCCAATGAAACACCTGTGTTAACTCTTCTGCACACGAATGCTAACAAAAGAATCACAGATTCGTCAGAATTCCTGGAAGAAAGCCTGAAAACAAAAAGCTATTTCATGCAGGTCACTTATACGTTTTTAATAAGTTTATGTATTTGAAATATATATTAAAGTAGTAATCAGTAAACTCAAAATTGAGCATTCATTTTCCCTGTGTCTACATTCATATGTGAGTCGTGGACTGTTGTCGCGCGCCCACGTGGGTAAATACACTGATATAGTGAGGGTGTGGGTTTGAACCTTAACAATGCCCACCCACGTGAGAAACTGGACTATTATCTAAGCTATGTTGATCCTAGACAGTCCTGGATAGCCAAGAAAACAGCGAGTGGCTCGTTCCATGAAATGAAAGTTGCTGTACTTGTATCCACAGGAGTAGGAGAATGGATAGATAAATATCAGGATAAACCCACTGTGATAATATCGAGACACACAGTTAACCCCTCCGACTTATCTCCTCTCCTGGCATTACTGAAAAGCCCCCATCAAGTGATTTAAATATTTGTTAGCTGAAGTAAACTAATATGCACAAAGACACTTGAACCTAAGTACACAATTTACTCAACTATTTTGTAATAACATCAAACATGATTTATTTGAATAAATTGAAATTAAAATGAACTTGTTTAGGCTAGTAGAGTTGAGGGAGTGTGATTGATGACAGTTTGTACATATACTTAACTCCTAGAAGGAGAATTCACCGTCGGACAGTTCTCGGCTTGAGACCCTGCCTATCTTTTCCAGTTTGTCGTCCTCACTGCTTTCTGCAGGTCGTTACACTCGACGGTCGGCAAATAATGGATGCCTACTAGTCCCTGCCCAATGTGGGAACTGGAGAATGAAGAAACAAGCGCATATTTGTAGTATCTGCTCTAGATGTACACTAAGCATGTATATTATACTAACATCAAGCATGTTTATTTAAATAAAACATTTCATCTCTCCCTCATGCTCACATTCACTCCTGTTCAATTTGGAAGGGCTTATGTCTCACATTCCAACTGTTACATCTTCTGCCTTCCTCTACACGTCCTGTAATGATAGTCAAGTCTTCTACGTCAGGTGCCATCTCTCGTACAGACTCAAATGACACTCAGTTAGACAGAACCAGTTCTGGAATCTATGCTTGGAACAATCGACGCGCCCAGAATGCTAACAATAGTTCTGGGGCGAATCAAATAACAAATCTCGTGGATTTACTCTCCGGGATCAATCTCCGCATTAGCCTCCCGAGAGTTAAACTCATTTCAGTGTGTTAGCTGTATGTAATACAGATTCACATTAATCACACGTGAAAAGATTGCCAAAATTATCTTCACGCTTGTGATTTCAAAAACATGATAGTTCATTAAATTTCAATGGCAACAACAACATTTAGGTTTTACAACATTGAAACACATGTGCACGAAAAACATTCATGACACTATCAAATAGGAAATAAAGCAATGTGACAGTGCCCTACGAGAATGAAGAAATGTCCGCCTAGGAGTACTACAAAGTGATGAAGACACACTTGAGCAAAAACAGTTAGATTTCTATCACAAAATATAGATTTGAACCTAATTTCGATCTTACCTGGAAAATGATACCACAATGCCAAAAGTTCTGTCTCAAGCTTAGGTTAAGCCCAACAGATGGCATGTGCTTGACAGCGTCTCATTTACCAGACCTAGAGTTCACCACTTTATAACCTTTATTAAGCTCCTCCTTCATTACGCCTAAAATCATTCTCATTCAAGGATATCACAGCTCCTCCCTGTGGGTAAGTTTATTCGCTGTCAGTCAGGGCTGTACAACACTTGTTTAAATTCCCACGGTCACCTTCTACAGGTTCAGTTAAGCTGGTCAAAGCTAATAGGCCAAGTCACACCTCCAGTCTACTTCACCTGTCATCACAATAAAATCCGACTTTGTCAATTCTTCTGCCAACACTTTCAGCTCACTGTGTCAATATTGACGATCTGACCGGCGCTCCAGTTTAGTTAACCTCGGGGGGAGATAATGGCAATTAGCCCTTGTTATCTGTTCCTGAAGGTCTGGCTAGGAGATAAATATCTGACACCAACAAATGGTGTGCAAATCTCCAGTCAGTAAGTCTGCTTGGTCAGTCTTATCTCTGTACCTCAACACTTAACGTCTGGGAAAAGTTTTAGTGTGTGATATCGCCAACATCTCAGGAGAATTAAATGTTTGTTTAACATTATGATTGCTGGTATTCTTTTTTGCATGACCTTTGTAGGATTTTTTTTGTGTATACCTATGTACAGTCAGAAATAGAAAAAATAGAATACCAGTTCACAAATAATATTGATGGCGTGGTGTGTTTATGGTGTACACACATTTGGATCCTTACTCATGTTGTCGATTTTGTAAGCTGTGTTGAGATTCTTCTTATGTGTTCTATCGGCACATGATGCTTTAGAATCTCCAAAGGAATATCATCACCGCTTTTGATCCAGAATGGGACGTGATCACCTTTGCCATCAGGCTAAGCACTTAATGTTGATTTATGAATATGACTGACATGATGTCTGATGTCAAGTGTTGTCTGTCCATCAGGCCAGGCTGTCCCTTGTGCAAGGTTGGAAATTGCTGTATAATTCTAGTGAACATGGGCTCTCTCTTAACAGGTCAGTATGTGGCCTTTTATCTTTGTTTTGTTCCTTTTCCCTCTCTTTACACTGTACCAGTTTCCCCCTCCACATTACTGTTTCCCAAGTTGTTTTTTTATTTGGATGACCTTAATGTTTTATTGTATTGATTTAGTTTTGTAGCTGCGGTTTTTGAGAAGTTAAAGAATATCATGAAAGAGTAGAATAACAAATAAAACAGTCCTCCTTTACTAGACGTAGACAGTCAGTATTTTTTAGACATAGTGAGACTGGATTCGAGTACTTAGTAACACCTTGCAAAATTCATGAACTGATCCCTAGTTCTGGTGATTGTGTGAGATGGCAACCTTCAGTTATTGGCATGGCCCATGATGATGATTCTTGGTGTTTTTGTTTCTTTGGGGAGACTTTAATAAGACCAGGTGCAGACTGTAACAGTGACCATGTGCCAGTCGTTGGAAAGCCAAGGATAAAACTGAAGAAACTAGAAAAGGGCTTCAAGAAATACCAAGCCAGATTTAGATTTGGCAATGCTTGAATAAAATCAAGAAATGAGTAAGAGTTACACCATTGCTGTTAAAAATAGATACAATACTACTGAAAAGATAAGCAGTATAGGTGAACAATAGCAAATGCCAAAAAAGTCATTACAACAAGACATCAAAAGAAATATTGCTAGAAGTAAAGAAGACGGCGAAGGGATTTTTTTTTAACGATGGATTATAAGAAAAAATCAACACAGCCAAGATGAATATTAAAGAATACATAGAGATATCACCTTAAATGTAATCAGCGACAGAATTATGGTTAAATTATACTTGCGAAGAAATTGAAGAACAGAGAGAGAACACACGACATTTATAGAAGAATACAAGAAATATCAGGTTTTAGAAAATATGAAGCAAGTATTTGCTTGGAAACAAAAAAATAAGGTGAAAAAAAAATGGACAAAGAGAAGGTAATCAAATGATCGACTAAATATATAAAAGATCTGTACGATGATAGCAGCAGATTAAGATTTGTCCTTTGATCTGTGTCACTCTATGCAGGTTCAACAATCACGTGTCAGCTTACAATGCCCCAACGGTGAACTTTATGGCATTTGAAGGCAGGAATCTCTATTGTCTGGCAGTTGATCGGAGCTGGTCGTAAGTACTAGATTTAATTGTGACCTTGTTGTTTGTTCATTGTTGTTAAAGAGAACCATATTGTATGTAACCAGTATAATCTTAGAATAAGTTGAGGGGGTTCCTCATTAGATCACTGTTGGCCCAGTATCTCGTACCACAAGAAATGATGGAAGTATCACTTGTAGAAATGATGGAAGTATCACTTGTAGAAATGATGGAAGTATCACTTGTAGAAATGTAAAGAACCCTTTTCCGTGTCTTATTAGGCATATAGGGCTAGTGTCCAATGTAGTAAGACAAACCTAGTAATAAAGTATTCTGCACCAGGCTCCTAATGGAGCTGTGATGCATCGTACAAGGTTCTTAATATTTGTTAGCCTCTCTTGCTCAAGTCTGCCTCAGGTTCATGCTGTGGACCTTAGTAATCCAGTGAAAGGTTGGGTTTTCAACCCCCAGTGGGACAACAGATGAGTTTATGGCAAAATCCATTGAAAGTTGGAGTTTTAACCCCCAGTGGGACAACAGATGAGTTTACGGCAATACCCAGTAGAAGGTTGGGTTTTTAGCTCCCAGTGGGACAACAGATGAGTTGACTGCAATATCCAGTTTGTTTGACCATCTACTGAGTTAAGTGTATGATATGACACTGTACAGAACAAATGTACCAAGATGACTTTCGGAGAGGAGCTGGTGTTTATAATGCAGCTGATGAGAATGCTTGGGAACGTGTAGAGAGAATAATTGCACTACTCAGGTTAATGTGTGTTTTGGGCTTTTAAAAAAAAATCAAATGTAACTGTAATTAGATTTCTGTTCTTCCTTATTGGTTTTTACATTTCTGTTTAAATCTTTCTTTCTTGTTTCCTTTCCTGCTCACTTTTCTTCTGTCCTTTAACTGTGAGTAATAAAGTCACACATTGATCAACACTTTTAGAAGTAGAGACAAAGTAATTAGATTAGAGCATGCATTAGACAGTATACAATAACACTGCTGATTCTTCAACAGTGAACCAGTGACAAGTTACTGTCAATATTATTTTGATTGAATCAGGGGCAATAGTCTTAAATCATGTTTCCTTTGATTCTGCCTGAAAAGCGAGGAAAGAACAGACTTGACACAAAAAAGTCAGCTCTATAAAACAGATACAGACAGAAAACTTATAAAGTCCAGACATGGACATACAAACCTGGACTTTCTGTCAGAGCTTACAGCCAGTTAACACCAACAGAAGTAGCTTCAGTGGGGCTAACAGTTCTAGCCTCCCTACCCGTGAGAGCTCAAGGGGACATAACAGCCCTTTTGTAAACTAATGCTCCCATCACAGCCAACCTGAAGGCCCTTTAGTTTTTTTTTATATCCCGAAACCTTGTATATTTTCCTCAGCAAATTTGCCAGAACTGAACTGTGTCCTCCTTCATGCTGCTGTACTGCTGTCTCTTTGTTGTTTATGAGCCAGCATTATCTTTGTCAACTCTCCAGTAATTATCTCATTTAGTGGTTGTTTTTTGTTTAACAGAGACAAGTTGTGGTAAGCTGCATGTAATTTTTTCACTTCAGTGAGGGGCCCAACAAGTTTGGAGGAGCAGACTGCATGTTGATCCAGTTGTTTCCCGTGTATCGTGTTGTCCAAGGTAATTCTAAATTCATTGTGCAGACACTGTGGGTTGCTGCCCACATTTATTTATTCGCTGAAATATCTAGTGCATTTTCTTGACTCTAACTATTACAATGCTAGCAGTTTGAAACCAAAAGGTTCAAAGTTGGATTATTTTTACTAGACAGATTTGTTTTGCCCCAGCCTTAGATTTGTAATGTCTTTTGTGATATCAGTTTGATTTTTTTGAGAGGTCATTTACTTTTAGTCTGTAGGATAGGTTAGAAGCTGAAAGCTAAACGAAAATCTTTCCCAGAAGCACTTTTTGGCCACTTCTGAGAAATGTTACTGGTGATCATATAAGGCTGGGTTGATCTGGAGGTCCAGGTTAGGGAGGATCTCCACCTTGAAGGGGATCCACATTTCTGACAACTGAACTGGCAAGCAGACTGTCAGCCATTTGGTTGCTAAGGCTCAATTAAACAACAGTAAATACAAATCGTTAAATTTATTGAGAAGCAAAGAATGAAAAGGTTTGGTCACCTAATGAGAATGGAACCAACGATGTCAGCATCAAGAGCATACAACATGAAAATCGAAACACCAAGAGGCAGGGGAAGACCAAGAAAAATATGGATTGAAGGAGTCACGGACAACTTGAGACTGAGCGCGCCCTGGCTCGGTTGCTGATCATCTGATAGACTGCGCCGCCTAGCGGCACAAGCAGATTTTGACAAAAGAAGAAGAAATACAAGCAAAGGACCCTTATTTTGCCAGTGCAATATCTGGAATTGATGTAGGCAGATCAACACTCAATAGATAATGTGGACAGTGTTGTGGCGGTTGCCATTTACTTCCCAAGACTTTCCCTCGTGCCTTTTTTAGGCTAGGTCAGCCAGGAAACTAAGATCATTTTTATAAGAAATCAGAACCAATATCTTTGGGCCCTCGTGTTAATGTCTAGTCACCATTTCACTGTGGTTCCTGGGTGAATGCCTAATCACCATGTCACTGTGGTTCTCGGGTGAATGTCTAGTCACCATGTCACTGTGGTTCCCGGGTGAATGCCTAGTCACCATGTCACTGTGGTTCCCGGGTGAATGTCTAGTCACCATGTCATTGTGGTTCCCGGGTGAATGCCTAGTCACCATGTCACTGTGGTTCCCGGGTGAATGTCTAGTCACCATGTTACTGTGGTTCCCGGGTGAATGTCTAGTCACCATGTCACTGTGGTTTTACCAGTTGTTTCACCCTTTTAGTGTGTCAAATATATATTACAAAAATTTGTCCCAGGAAGGAACATTAAATATATAGGTCATGACCCGCTACAAGTCCAGAAAAAATCCATAAAAACGTTTTTTGTTTTAAACATAAGTCACTTACAATTTTTTTTAATATGAATATATTTGACAGACACTAACAGGGTGAAACTACTGGTAAAATCTATCTCCAGGGGCCTAAAAACTAACACATGTACCGGGTTAAGAAAAGTATAGGAGGGGTGGAGTTAGCAGTCCATGTTGCCTGGTACAGAAGGGGTTGAGCTTTTAATATCTTTCTTTCAGCTGGTCCCAAAATGGTGCGTTGGAATGAGAATGCCAAGGAATTCCCAAAAGGCATCAGTGTTGGCTGCGACGGCAAATCTGAAGTTCTGCGGCTGACCCCAGAGTTTGACAAGATTTACCACTACAGCGCACCTTGTGAGATTCACAAAATCGAGGTTTGTGTCACATAATTGTCACCTTATGAGGTCCATATAATTGAGGTTTGTGTCACATAATTGTCACCTTATGAGACCCATATAATCAGGGTTTGTGTCGCATCCTTGTCCTCTTAACTGTTTCCTTATTGTCACTCCAGATGATTATTACAGTTTTTAATTACTTCATGCGTACAATCTGTACCAAAAACTTGGATAAATAGATAAATTGCTGAAGAAAATTGTCTGTACCTGTAGGGAGGAGAGTTGATGTCAGTTTTACTGGTTGCAGGTTCTAGGCTGCGGTGCAGAAACTGCCTTACAGGCTCAGAAAAGCCAGAAGGACTGGGAGATCAAAGCAGTGCACAGGGAACAACACCGCAAGGTAATGTGAAAGTCATTTTATATTGCTTATTATTTGAATTAGATTGGAAAGAGATTGACTTAGAATGTCACCAGCATTTCATTCATATTGGCTGTATAGGTCATATGTACAGCAGTGGCATGCCTGATTGGCGAGTCAAGACATACAGCTGTGAAGCTCTCCTAGTGTGACCCAAAATAATGTCTTTTTAAAAAAAAAATCTTTGTGATTGGTTGCTTTTGAGCCTTTGCCTCTTTCAAAACACATGAGTTGCTCTTTTGGGTGTCCAAGGAATTCTAAGGGTTCTTTTGTTAAACCACATCCTAGATGCTTCATACAATAACTTGGCTTGTTTATTATCTAGACGAGAAGTTACTGAGATAACATGTATTCGTCAGTATGAATACTCTTAGCTGGCTGTTGAGGTGGGAGATGGAGCTAATATGTGCATGTCTTGAATTCTGTGTTGTCCAGTCTTGACCCAGATATACACCTGCTTGTTGGGGGGGGGGGGGGGAGGCTAATGTTGAGTGTTGATGGTTCCATTAGAAAGTTTTACTGTGTTGGTTGGTTGTCAGCTCATCTTATGATTGGTGATTTTGTTTTTTTGAAGCAACATATTTAATTGTTTTGCTGTTGTTTTTTCCTGTCAGCTGAGACCTGAAGCTTATGGCGAGGACTGGAGAAACTGCCCAGACACACAGATTCTACAGTGGGGTGGAGTGGATGTTGGCAACCACTCCTACAACCGATAGTTCAGCCCAGTTGACAGCCTTCCCTCACTATAATGAGTCCTTCGTAGACGCTGTAGATCTTTCTTGGCTTTCACAAGACTACTGAAACAAAGTGTGCACTCTGTGGGATTTTGGGGGAGTTGTGTTTCAATTGGTGCTTTATGTATAATTGCTCATGGTGTACAGATGATGTGAATTCTGAACTTATGTGAATATTCACATTCAGTGTTTTATGCTGATAGTTGCTGCTGCTGCACTATTATTGTTATTAATTTTTTTTTTTTTTTAGTAAATCTGAGGCCTTCAGCTAACTCAGTCCCTTCAGTTCCTCCTGAATCTTCTCAACGTTATTCATTTGTCTTTTATTCCTGTCTTTATGTGTTTTTCTTTTAGCCATGTGGCTCCCTGAAGAAAGACTTTCTGATTAAGCTATCAGTAGGTTTTCTTGACGTTTCTTCTTTCCATGCATCTTATTTCACTGGGATTAGTTCAGCCCACTTTGTAAATTTGACATTAATAATTCTATCATATAGTTTTGTCCTATTCTGTGCAGGAACTAATTAATTATAGTTTGTATTTTATTAGCAGTTGTTTTCTGTACGTGTTTCATTCCACATTTATTCAACATGCTGCAAACAGTCTTCCATGCTCAGCTTATCTGCAAAGATGTACCATTTGGTACTAGGGGTTAATCCTAATTTGTTCTTTGATTTTTTTTTTTTTTATGTACACAATATCCTTAATGTATTGATTTGTATATTTGTGAGAAATGTGTATCTTTTGAGTCTTTTAGGTTTCATTCCCCTTATCAGCTAAAGATGAAAAAATACATTCAACACATTAAACTTACGGATGACGATGCAATTCACACCTGTCCTAGAGATTTTCCTGCACAAAAAGACAACTTTTGGTGATCCAGGCTCTTTGAGGCTCTGCATTATGTCTGCTTTCTTTCAGGGAAGAGCCGCCTTTTATCTTAGTCGGCAGATTTGTTTTTCTTTATAGATCTGTTAATAGATTACATTAAAGCCAGAGAAAGTTTTTCCTCTCTATAGCACAAAACCTGGGCTTTATGTGAAGACCATCTGTTGATCATTGTGATCCCTTCCTCAGCGTGCCTTGTTTACTCCAAAAGAAAGGTAATACCAATATGTTTGGAACAAAGCATGCTGTAGAAAATCATTGCTCTGTCTGCCTGTTAAAGCTTCTCTCCTAAACCAGCTGCCAGCCAAGGCTAAGGACATGGTCTGTCCTGCCATAACATGAAGTTTTCAAGTTGCAATTCCTTTTCCTAGGTTAAGGCTGGTATCTTCCCCCACTGCGCTCCTCCACACAAAGCCATTAGCGCTATGTGGGATGTCAGGTTTGGAATACACACTCAACACGTGACGCTGACAGATACCACTGACTACTGTTACTCGGTAGCTAAGTCATATCTGACCAGGACCGACCTGATATAATTTCTCTGGTTACACGAGTTAACTTAATGGTAAATTAAATGTGTGAAATAGATGTATAAGAAATGTGGTATAGAATAGTTTGACTGTCGCGTTTGTTCTTCCTCGGCCTATTTAAATGCTCGGCTCTGTTACAAGTACTTATGTGTTTTGTTTCTTTCCCCTCATAAGTTTTAAATATACTTAAATAAACTGCTTTTATACACGCTTTGCAAAGGAACTTGAGCATACATGGTTTTGTATACAGAAATTGACATATACATGTTTTATACATAAATATGCAACAGAATTAAGCGGAGTGTTTTATTTCTAAATATACAAGTTAACCTAAGCATAAAGTTTTTTTATACAAATATAAGTGTACTTAAGCATGGTCTTTTATATAGAAATATACTGTGTTTTTGAGTGTTTTATGCATGAATATGAGTTTCAAGTCATGGTTTTATATTTAAGTAATGCTCGTGCCTTTGTTTTATATATAAAAATGTTTGGGGAGGGGGGGGGGGGTAGCCTTTGAAGTGGTATATATTTTTGTTGTAGCTCTGTGTGTGTTTCTGCAACATCTTACTTGCCGTTCTGATAAGATGTGTGAGGATAGGTTGTCTTTCTCTGATTATACACGTTTTTTCTCCTTTCAGGGTTACCAATCACAGTTGCTTAGGTTTTAGGTTTCTTTATAGTATTCCATTCAGATATGTTGGCCTCTGCATTGCTGTAGCATTCCATTATGTCGGGTGTTCAAAGTTTTTTGTTTTACAATCTTATCTATTTTAATTATGGTCATGTCCTAGAGTATAAAGTATACCATATTTCTCTAAGTGTCAGACCTTGATTTTGGGACCCACAAACAAAAATAATTCGATTATATCAAATTATTTAACAGGTTTTATTTAGATAGCTTGCAGGCATCTTTTGCGCAAGTCTAGTACATGTAAGCATGCTTAATCCATTTCCTTTCATGAACATGAAGCACTACTTGTGCCTTCTTTTCAGATTAGTCAATTCTCTTTTAATAGCATTATTTCGTGTCTCATACCAAATTAGCTTAGTGGGCACAGGAATTCCCATTGCTGTTAAATTCATATCTTTAGTTCCCTCTCAAGATCAGGCCATTTTGCTGACTTGGCTTAGAACCTTATTCCATGGCTCTTCAATATGGTTTTCTTCTTCCCATAGCCAGAAAAACTTTTTTTTTTCCATTTTTGTCGCTCTTGAACTGTACGGAATATTTTCTAACAAATCATTTAGTAAAAATCTGCTACCATTAGGTGAGGGGGACCATTGTCTTTAGGCCCCTTGGTTGGTGCCTTGTGGGAGAGAGAGTAAAGTTTGGAGGAGCAGATGAATCACCACAGTCAGGTGATGGGGGTTCTGGCAGATGCTCGAAGCTCAGATGAAAGGCAAGACAGACGTTCAATCAGAGTGCTACTGGCACCATTAGTGTCGGAACTCTTCGCTGGCTACTGAAGATGGAGTTGGAGCGCTTATGGGAATGCTTGGGAGTGCTGTGATGTTGGTTCTTGAATCAACTAAACTGTCTTTAGACCCAATATTCTTGGTAAATGAGTCTTATGCTTGGGGACAAATGGTTTTCTGATAGCTCATTAAGACTGGCTGCGATCATATCTAGTCTAGTAATATTTTTTTTGGGATGATTTTACGAATTTTCCTTGTCGGCCAGCTCCAACTTGATGCCTAGAAAGAAAGTAATACATGCTTATTTTCAATTTGGCGACTTTGGCAAAGTCAGTTTTCATAGTAAAGTGAATGGACACTCACAAAGCCGAAGTCCAAAGGACGAACAACCAACACTTAGAGCAGGTGAACAAAGAAGAAGTCTCATGCCCCACAAAAGGCTCAGAAGGGAAAACTGCTTATTTAAAATTATAAAATGATTTTGTTGACATCAGTCACATTTGTTATCATTTCTATATAATCTCTATCATGAACACAGCTTTGCCAAATCTTGCATGTGCCTTTCTGCTGTGAAATATTTATGACAGTTTGTATTCTTTGATGAGTTTGACAGAATGATCCTTTATGCTGTCTACTTTTTAAAATGTTACCTTTTATTATGCAATAAGAAATCTTTTTTGACGTGGAATTTTTAACAGATCGAATCAAATATTTTGGGGTGTTTACTTCTTTTTGAAACTAATGTAAGTGCCTTAAACTATGCCTTCTTGTTCGGTCTGTTTTTTTAATAAAAAAACATTTTGGCTTTTTCAACAGATTTAGATTGTATTAAAAAGAGCTTCATTTTTCTGGTCTGTTTTGCTGCCTTTAAGAAAAATAGAGCTTTTAGATGTCCGGTTTTGCTTATTTTATATCAGACAGCATTTTGAAAAACTAGAATCTTGAAATCTAGCACCCTCTTACTTGGCTTGACTTCCTGCTAAACATGAAATGGAGTCCTGGAGGACGCACTGCCATAGGACAGATCAAGAAGGGGTGGACCAGAGATAGCTTTGATTTATGATAGCACAGGTCAATCCATACAGACAATAATGAATTAAAAGCGGCACAAGACAGACAATTGTGGGATGTTGCCCATAATAGTTCAGATGAGTTGAATGGGTTATTACTTTTAAAAAAAATCATCCTTAAAAATGCGGCACACAAGTCTAGTTTTTAAGCTTTAACAAACATGGCCTGTAAAACTTGTGCAGTTGGAGGGTTTGATTATTCCGTTGCTCAAGATTAGAAGGAATAAAAATCAGTTGAGACATTACAAGCTGTGCAGCTAGAAAAAGACAGGAAACAACTGACACATTACAGCAAAAGCAGAAGAAAAAAAAAGGAGATAAAATGCCTTAGGTACGAGTAGACCAAACTCAGATATTTGGCCTACAGATCTTGAGGTTGACTTGTTTGCAGAATACGTCTATTTTCATCTTTTAATTAACAAAACAAAATCACATAAGAGTGCTGTCGAGCTGATATGAAAATATGTTGGAACAGATTTGCTGAAGTTTAATGAAAATCACACGATTTGTCTAGTTGTATATTTTGTGTAAGTAATTGACATGTTTGTTGTTTTTACTGCTGCAGACTCAGGTTTCACTTGCTTGCCTTCAAGTTGTTTGTAATAATGGTAATTTAATTGTTGTATGTTGTCAGACAGACAAATTTGCTTCAACGTATTTTATTGATTTGAGATAATACTAATATTAAAAGTCTTTTCATTGTTACCTTTTGTTTTTACATACACAGTGGTCCCACCTATATCGCCATGTAAATACATAATATTCATTCTGATTCTTTCCTCTTTTGCAAACATACTTTTTGTTCAACCATTTTGCCCTGTAAACATCTTTAACATATCATTTTGAAAGTGCATTCATGTAAATCCCCGGAAGTCTGTCCTAAGAAACTGGAAGAAGCAGAAGAAATTTGAGGTTTTGTTTTTTACAAATATCCAGGGGGTTCACACCTTTAGACCACCAATCAGACTCGCACCTTTAGACCACCAGTCAGACTTGCACCTTTAGACCACCAGTCAGACTCAAACACCTTTAGACCACCAGTCAGATAAACTGGTGTGAAGTCATCTGCATCTTTGAT